AAGGATGTGGAAGGATGTGGAAGGATGTGGAAGGATGCGGAAGGATGTGGAAGGATGTGGAAGGATGGCAGCAGGCTTGATCCTTCTTCCAAATCATTGTTTATTTGTTGGTTGCAGTCTGCTTCCAAAAAATCCTCCTTCCTGATTCCATTCCAGGTAATCTGGGTAATAGACATTGGTCCATTTTTGCATTTCGTGTACTTTTCAAATGTTTACCGAACTTTCAGTAACTTGAACGTTCACTTCCGGGTCGGAGGTTAATTTCCTGTTGTGAGATCGGATTTATTTATTTTTTTAACTCAATATAATAATGGATTTTTTTAAATAGTTGTGTTTTGCGAGGAAAATATCACAACAACCACATATTAAAGAATATTAACTTAGATGAAAAATAAAATAATCTGATATTTTCTTGGGGGTGCTATGACTTTTCCAGTGGGTGCTCTAGCGCCCCCCCCTGGCACCACCCCCTGGTTCTTGGCCACGCCCACTTCTCCGCTCTGCACGGAGGAAAGCTGATCAGCTACAGGAGGAAGTTTATCCTGCAGTATGGGCTGCACAGAGGTGCAGCAGGGGCAAAATAATTAAAAACAATTTATTTTAAATAAAAATGCCATGCTGATCGTGCAGCTCATCCATCCATCAGCCAGTTGTGTGTCATGTACTATCTTATTTTGAAAAACCGTGCAGCTCATCCATCAATCAGCCAGTTGTGTGTCATGTACTATCTTATTTTGAAAAACCGTGCAGCTCATCCATCAATCAGCCAGTTGTGTGTCATGTACTATCTTATTTTGAAAAACCGCGATAGAGCGAGTCCGCGATAAACGATGCGCCAAGTAGCGAGGGACTATTGTATTTAGCTTTGTCGGCCATGTTTTCCTCATTGAAACTGAACGGAGCTCTCTTCACGTCCTTCAAACTCTTTAGCTGTTCATTTCAGCTTATGTTGCACTTCAGCTTCTTTCAGCTCCTTTTTAGTTTTTTTTTCTGACAATTTAAAACAATTAAAAAAATTATCTTGTTCCGCTCGTAACTTCTGATCCGCTCCAGATAATTTAACGAAACTTGGTACACTTTTGTTCCATCACAAACAGCGTGTCCCGTACTCTTTCCATCTCCCCGGCTTCAAGGTCAAGGTCACAAATCAAGGTCACAGGTTATATAAGGTCTGCTTGTCTGCCCATTGCTGTAGATTGATTGTCGACGGGTGAATGATGTGTCGAATGCGGTGCACTTGTTCATGTTCCTGTGGCAGCCATTTTGAATTGGGTTAACTCAAAACATAATCTGTTGTAGATGCACAACAGACTGTTGTTTCTATGAGGTTAGATAAAATCCAGTCAGTGCTTCATGAGACATTTTACTAAAACTGACAAACACGTACAGATACAGGCAATTACCTGATCGCCCGCCTCTCAGGACAGCGGGTGATAATAACATGCTTAGTTCTGACATACAGCTGTACGGTTACCAGCAGAACCACCTGTCTGTCAGGCACGGTGGTGGAAGGGTGATGATTAGAAGCTCAGCATTGAGTTTGGCGTGGCATCCTCGCCTTCATTTCTTAGTGTCGTCACAGACGGCGGGCGATATGCATTTCGTTGACGTCATTATATTTGCTATAAATTTCAAATTAAAACACGCGCTTCCTTCCCGTTCTTGAACGTTTTGTAAAATCCGTTTGAGGATTTCAGGGAGCAGGAAATACTTTTAGTCCCCCGGATATTCGAGCTCCTCGTGCGAGCGCCTTTTACAAACGATCTTTATCTCAACGGCTTCAAACTCGACAAGTCAAACCTTTATTTGGATGAAGAAAACAAACAGTCTCCTTCAGCACGCAGTCCTGACATGAGCAGGGGGTTTAATTGTGTGACCTTGGCTTTGACCTCAACCTTGACCTCTCTGAGGGATTTTAAACATCTGCTAAGTTCATGGCAAAAACCAACACAGTCATGTTCCTGTTTTTATTTTTTTACATCACTTTACAATGTAGATGTTTTTGTTTCTAATTTAAATCATTTCTTCTGTTTACTTTTCATTTCTTCGTCTGTTGTTGTCTGGACCTCGTCTGTGTTCAATGTTTAAATCAGGTCTCTCTAGTAAATGAGTCCTTGAGGCTCAATGAGACTAACCTGCAGAAATAAAGGCTGACTGAATGAATGTTTATGAAGCGTTCACACTGTTGTGATCCATTTTTCTTCCGTACATTTTTCAGCATCTTTCTCGATCCACAATGTTTGTTCTACTTCAACAAATCATAAAATGTTCAGCTCTTTCAGGAAAAGCCTGCTATGACTTTTGGTGCAACTTTAGCTTTTTGAAATGTTTAGCCTTTTTTTTTCTCATAGAAAATGAATTGAGCTCATTTTACATCCTTCAGATCTTTAGAAGTGTTTACAACCTTTTACTGCTCCTTTCTCATTTTGTTCTGCTTCAGCTTCGTTCAGCTTCCTTGTACAAATTTAAACCTTTCAGCTACGTTCAGCTGTTTTTTTTCCAGCTGTTTTATGTTCCTTTCAAATTGTTTCTGCCAACTACAACATTTTTGTGCTTCTTCTAACTTTTTTCTACTAATTTCTGCCTGTTATGCTCCTTTCAGCTTATGTATGCAAGTTTAATCTTTTCTGCTATTTCAGCTGTATTTCTGCTTGTTTTAGCTTTTTCAACTAATTCCACATTTTTTGCACTCATTTAAACTTTTTCAATTGAATTCAATTCAGTTTATTCATATAGCACCAATTCACAACAAAGTTGTCTCAGGGTACATTACAGAAACATTCACGTACATAAAAAAGCCAATTAGTAAAGTTGTCTATCTGAGGAAGCAGCAGACTCGTTGAGCCTTCGCTTCGTCGCAGTCTCTCATCCTGAGCAAGCACAGAGGCAACAGTGGAAAGGAAAAACTCCCTTTTAACAGGAAGAAACTTCCAGCAGAACCAGGATCAGGACAAGCGGCCATCTGCTTCGACCGGCTGGTTTGAGAGGACAGGAAGTAGAAACAAACAAACAAACACAGAATGGCAGTGTGGCATTCTGGTAATTTTTATCAGCCTAATTCAGCAAAAATGTGCTCTCTCTACTTTCTTCTGGTAATTTGAGCTTCTTTTGCCTTTTCGGCTACTTTTCAGCTGTGTTTTTTATTTTTGTTGTTGCTAATTTCAGCTTATTTTCCAGATAATTTCCACGTTTTGTGCTCATTTGTGCTTCTTTCAGTCTAACTGGGCAAACATATTCTTTCTGCTGTCTTCTGATAATTGAAGCTTGTTCTACATTTTTAGCATTTTTCATCTAATTTCAGCTGTTTTCAGATAAAGTCATGTTTTTTGTGGTAATTTCTGCTACTTTCAGCCTAATTAACTCCTTTCTGCTAATTTCAGTTTATTATGCTCCTTTCAGCTTAGTTATGCCAGTTTCACTTATTTCAGCTATTATTTAGCTGTTTTATGCTCATTTTAGCTTTTTCAGCTAATTTCACAGTTTTTGCACTCAAGCTTTTTTCATCCTAATTCAGCAAAAACAAATTGGTCTCTCCACATACTTCTGCTAATTTAAGCTTCTTTCTGCTATTTTAGCTATTTTCAATCATTATTATCTAATTTCAGCTTTTTTCTGCCATTTTAGCTTTTTCCTACCTTTATTTTTTTCTAATTTCAGCTTTTTTCAGATATTTTCCACTTTTGTGTGCTAATTTTTTATTCTTTCAGTCTAATTGGACACAATTCCCTCCACTTCCTTCTAATTTAAGCTTCTTTATTCCTTTCAGCTATTTTTTTAGCTAATTTCAGCTTTTAGAGCTAATTTACAAATTTTTGTGCTAATTTCTGCCTATTTAAACCAAATTCAGCAAATATGTGTTCTTTCTGCTTTATTCTGCTAACTTAGGCTTGTTCTTTCATTTCAGCTACATTTGAGCATGTTTTTAGCTAATTTCAGCTGTTTTTCAGCAAATTCTTCAGCAATAAGCATTCACTCTGCATTTTCTCAGGAAATGCAGTTCCTCTAGTTTTTCTTGTTTTAGTGTCTGCGTTGCTCAGACCTCGATTTCTAAAGGAAAAATGTTCAGTTTCAATGGGGGGAATAAAAGTGTAAAAATAATAATTTACTTTTATTTTACCGTCTCTCAATTCTCTGGTTTTGCCACCGTTTCTCTGCAGGAAAGGGCCTTTTCATCCTGGAGAGTCTGCCTCTGAAGCGTTGCGTCTCGGTGGGCCGCTCCGGCCCGGTTCTGGAGGACTGCGGGCGCCCCACGAGCCGCATGCTGTGGAAATGGGTCTCCAGGCGCCGCCTCTTTAATTTGGGCGCCAGCGCCTGCCTGGGCCTCAACGTCTCGGACCCGACGCGACCTCTGAGCATGTTCGAGTGCGACGTGACCTCGCCCATGCTGTGGTGGCGTTGCCATGGTAACATGATGTACGGAGCGTCCGAGTGGAAGGTGACGGTGGCCGGGCGTTCGGTGGTGGTGAAGAAGAACATTTACCACGAGTGGAAAAGACACGACACGCCGAGAGAAGGTCCCTGTTCCCACCCGTATGAAGGTAGACCTGAAGAAACGAGCCGAAAGAAACTGAACAGTGACTAAAAGGAAGAAAAGTGTAGCTAAGCGTAGCAAGAGGCTAGCTAGATGCCAGATGTTGTATTAGGTTAAAAGCATTAGCTAAAAGTAGGAGCAGGCTAGCTGCTAACTAGCAGAACTTTAGCTAAAAGTTACAAAAGCAAAGAGATAGACCAAAAAAGCAACAAAAGGATAGCTAAAACCCAAAAGTTGTGAAAGGCTAATTAAAAAGGCCCAAAATTAAGCTAAAATGTAAACGCAGAAGCTACAAAGAAGCTAAAGTAGTAAAAGTGTGGCTAAAAGCTAAAGGAAGCTTTAGTCTAAATAAAAGCACAAGTACAGAGAAGCTAGATAAAATAATAAAAGCAATAAAACGTTAGCTAAAATGTAAAGACCAGCTAAAAGAAGGCAAAAGGTAGCTAACACATGACTTTAAAAAATATAATTTTAACCATTGGCTAGCTAAAAGCTAAAATATCAATATGCTAGCTAAAACTTAACACTAACAAATAGGTAGCTAAAATCTAAAAGTAGCAGTAAATACAACTAAAAGCTAAAAGTATCAAAAAATCTTGCTAGAAGTAGCAATTCCATAGTTGATAGCAAAAAATTTCTAAAGGCTAACTAGAAGCTAATAGTGGCAAAAGGTTGGCTAAAAGCTAGAAGCAACAGAAACAACTGAAAGCTAAAAGTACCAACAAGCTAGCTTAAATTAGCAGAACAGCGGTTAAAACTAAATTAGCAAAAGAAAACAGGATAAGAAGACAATGAGTCAGGAGCTGATTAAAGGAGTTATTTAATTTTGAAGGCGTTGAAGAGATGCAGTTCTGAGACGTTTGTAACTTGTCATTTTAAATAAAGTTAAATATTTTGATAAGTTTACAGGTTACAGCACCCATCTGTTGATGAGCTGAACATTTCGATATATGAATGAGTAAAAGTATGCACAGGTAGGAAGAGTTCAGCAAAAGTACGAAGATAATCGTGACGTCGCTGACTCGGGTGTAAAGCGTCAGGTTTGGTGGCGCCATCTTGTTTCCTGTTTGGCTGATGCAACAGCTTCCTCTAACTTTAAATCATGTGTTTGGCAGAAATTCACACGTTATTTGGAAACGCACAAGGATACCCGTGCGTTTTCCCCTTTAACTACAACAACAAGTGGTACTCTGAGTGCACGACGGAGGGCCGGGAGGACCACCTCCACTGGTGCTCCACCACCGATCGCTACGATGGGGCTGAACGATGGGGCTTCTGTCCGGTGGAAGGTAAACTAACCAGAAACTACAACAAGCACGTTGTTTGAATAGACCTTTTTAATTTGGACCTTCACCTGCGCAGCCTCGGGTTGTGATCACTTCTGGAAGTCGAACCAGGAGCTGCAGGCGTGCTACCAGTTCAACCTGTACACCATCCTCACCTGGACCCAGGCGCAGTCCACCTGCCAGGCTCAGGGTGGGAACCTGCTGAGCGTCACCGGCCTGGCAGAGCACAGGTACATCAGAGGTACGCAGGACCCGGAGCTCTGTGAAGACTTCATCGCACCTTCAAACCTGCCGGTAATTCCTTTTAATCCTGGCTCAGATCGGCTGGCGAGGGTCGGAGCGATGGTGTGGATCGGGCTGAACCACCTGAAGGACGGACACGGGTGGCAGTGGTCGGACGGAGCGCCTTTATCTCTGGTGACCTTCAGCACAGGTACAGATCATTTACCTGCACAGTATCACTTCACACCGATTGGAGGCGTTTCATTTGGCGCAGATTTGGTAAAGAGAAGTCCGGCGTGGTTTTCCTGCAGCCCTCTCCACCGCGCCGTCCTCCTTTAGCCTTTTTCTAACTGCCTGCCACCGCCGTGCACATGTCGGGTCGGATAACGCGTGACGTTTGGATCTGAAACTTGTCAAACAGAACTTTTCTTCAGCTCTAGCTTCCAGCCCGCTGGAGAACGACCGACAGTGCGGTGTTTACAACTCGGCCTTCGGCGGCCAGTGGCAGAGTCTGTCCTGCGAGGCGGCGCTGCCGTACATCTGCAAGAAGACGCCGAACATCAGCGTCAGAGCCGAGCCGATAGGTGAGAGACGATCCACCTACAGGAGGCGGACAGGTGTCATTACAGACCACACAACGAACCGACCACTTTCAGAAGTGTAGTTTAGCTTGCTGCTGCAGATTTGGTGCTGTTTAGTTATTTATAAATCAAAACGTTCGGCTCGTTCAGCCGATGATTGAGGCGACTTTTGGATCTTGGAACTTTTATGCTTTTCCAAATACTTTACTGTATTTGAAACTAAATTCATCATAGAAATACAACAAAGTCTTATTAGTTCCTTCATAAACATTGTTCTCTGGCTCTGTTTTTATCTTTGTATGCTACTTTTAGCTTTTAGCTACTGTTTTGCTTTTTTTTTTTTAGCTGTTCTGCTACTTTTAGATGGTTTTGGTAATTTAAGATGTTATCCAAAGTGTTGCTGCTTTTAGCAAACAAATTTAAGGCTTTTAGAATTTAGCTACTGGTCTTCAGCTATGGTTTAATTGTAGCTTTTAGCTACATGTTTGCTAATTTTAGCTTTTATCTAAGGTTTTGTCACTGTAAGAGCCAAAATGACTGTTAGGTGTTGTGTTGTTTATTGTGGCACAGGTGTTTATATTTTCCAGCACTGCAGGGGCGTGCATGAGGGGCGTGGTCACATGTTACTTAGCTGATCTGAGTAATTGCACCAGGTGCTGGGTTAGTAGGGTGGCTGGTAAACGTTTCTGTTGACCGTCACTGGGGAACAACTTAGAAACATAATTTTTGATCAATATCTTTGTCAGTCAAACTGACCAACATGTAAATTAATACAGACGCTGCTTGCTGGATGCAAAAGTAATTGTTAGTTTTAATAAATACACAAAACAAGGTGGACTCAGCATGGATTAATGGAGACGCGTCACAGAGCAAACTCTACTCAGCCGGCAGCGACTTGTTGTGGATCGAAGTCGCTGCAGTCACTTATTATAGTCTTTAACAACTTTGTAGCTTTTTTCTAGCCTTTAGTTACTACCTATTTACTTTTAGTTATAGTTTTGCTAAGTTTAGCTTTTAGCTATCATTCTGCTATTTTAACTTCGTAATAACTTTTCTGCCACTTTTAGCTACAGTTATGCTTTTGTAGTTGTTCTGCTACTTTATGGTTTTGCTAATTTAAGATGTTACCAAGGTGATGCTACTTTTAGCAAACATTTAATGCTTTTAATATTTAGCTACTGTTCTTCAGCTATGTTTTTAATTGTAGCTTTTAGCTACATGTTTGCTAATTTTAGCTTTTATCTAAGGTTTTGTCACTTATAGCCTTGAACAACTTTAGCTATTTTCTAGCCTTTAGTTACTATCTATTTACTTTTAGTTATAGTTTTGCTAACTTTAGCTTTAAGCTATGATTTAGCTAATTTTAATTTTAGGTTAAAGTTTTGCCTATTTTTAACTATCTATAGTTTAGCTAATTTTAGCCTATAGCTACCATTTTGATATTTGTAGCATTTATCTACTGTTCTGCCACTTTTCAATTTTTGTGGTGTTCCAGCTTTTAGCTACGGTTTAGCTGATTTCAGGTTTTACTGTTTGTAATGTAATCTATTGTTTTGCTACTTCTACCTTTTAGTGATTTTTTTTTTATTTATTTTATTTTAGCCTTTAGCTATGGCTTAGTTAATTTAGGTTTTAGCTACTGTTTTTCTTGGTTTAGCTTCTGTTTTTGTTCTATCTTCAACAATGTAGTCGATTCACTTCTAACTAGTTTCAGCTGTTTTCACAGAAAATGCTAATTTGTTTGGTTTTAGCTGATGTCAGTTTTGGGTCTAAAAGAAAACAGCTGATGAGTTTAATTTAGCTGTGATGGTTTCGGCACAGCTGTGCTGCTCCTGGGGAATTGACCTTTGACCTTCCTCGCTGTTTCTCTTAAATGGTTCAAAACAAATTCTGCCGACAGTTTGTCGTTTTGTTCGGTCCGGTTCTTTTACTCTTCTTCCTCTTCCAGAGAACTGGCAGTACGTCAGCACGGACTGCGCCGACGGTTGGTGGCCTCACAACGGGTTCTGCTACCGGGTTCTGCCGGAAACTGAAGCAGGAAGCTGGGAGGAATCGTCCCGGGCCTGCGACTCTCGGAGGGCTAACCTCAACAGCGTCCACTTCCTGTCAGAGGTGGAGATGCTGCTCGGCCTTCTGGGTAACTGTGAGTAGCTGCGTCCAACAGACAGGAACATTCGGCTGCTATGATCAAGGATCATAAATACTTCTAGCTCTGTAGGTGGTCCTCACATATATCTTTTTAGTTTAGGTCCTTCTTTTTGGACATTTGTAGTTTTTTACACATAGAGAACAAATTAAAACTAATCATGTTTCAGTTTGTGCTCGTGTTCCTCAGATTCTGGGTCGGAGTTCTGGATCGGTCTGTGGAAACCAGCATCATCAGCAGCTGTAGAGTGGTCCGACGGCTCACCCGTCACCCTCACCGTGTGGCACCAGTACCACCCTGTTCACAACCTGACGGACCAGAACCTCTGTACCAAAGTGGACCCGAAGGTGATACCCAGTTAGCTTTTAGCTAGTGTTTGCTAATCTGTCTTTTAGCTATTGCACTGCTAATTTTAGCATTTAGCTACTATTTTGCTGGTTTTAGTTTTAAACTATTAGTTTGTTCATTTGTACTTCGATTAGAGGTTGGTTGATTTTAGTTTTTAGCTACATTTCTACTAATTTTAACTTTCAGCTATTGTTTTGATTTAAAGTAAAACAATTTTCTGTCACAGAAAGGAAACTGGCTTCTGGCCTCATGCGAGGAGCGACACCCGGCCGTGTGCAGAAGAGAAAGTCAGAGGCCCGTTCAGCCTCAAACCTGGGATGAAGGATGTCCTGCGGTACGAGTACACACCGAGTCCATTATCTCCCTCGTGCTGTCTGTGAGCAAAACAAACCAAACTATAAATGTGACGAGCCGAGCTCAGATTAGTGGTTCAGGAAACGTGTAATCATGAACTACTGAAGTTCCTGCAAAACTTCACAATTATAGGTTCAAAATGGTTGACTTTAAATCGGTTTATTTTCATTTTCTTTCACTCTCTCTGCATTTTGGCTTCTTCTCTAGGAAAACTGCTGATGTGGGAAATATTCCTAGAGTTTGTTACATCCCTGACTTAAAATGGTTTCTAAAGTTTTTAAGTCTTCCTAAATTTTCCTGAGGTGTGCAGGCGTGGGATTATTGCTGAGTGTAATTTAAAGCATTGGAAAGGTTTTCAATCTGTTTGTGTAGACAGTAGTCGGGTATTAATTTGGTGTAAAACAAAGGCAACACGGTGGATCAGCGATCAGCGATCAGCGTAGTTGCCTCACAGCAAGCAGGTCTTTGATTCAACCCCCAGTTTGGATCTGGGGTCTTTCTGTGTGGAGTTTGTATGTTCTCCTTGTGTTTGCGTTGGTTTTCTCTTGCAGTCCAAAACCTGCATGTAGACTGCCTTCAGCCCCAGGAGGACCGTGGAGAGGGTCTGTGATCTCAATGGGATCGGCCTGATTCAATAAAGGTTCATAAAATAATAGATGTAAAGAGCAGAAACACACTAGCGTTGTGCACGAGTAAACATTTGGTACAAAACAGTAGCTCCAAAAGAATCATCAACGCCTGCCCGGAGTCGACCGCTCCATGTATGCCCAAAACGGCCTCAGTGCCGGCTACTGGAGCCGGCAGGTGGGAATGTGGAGGGTCTTCTCAAAACTCCAGACTGGAATTTTTTAATATGGAAAAATCTATTTGAATTCTGATGGGAGAAATGCTTTAAAAATTACATTAAATAAATATTTTGTCCATTTATTGATTTTATTTTACAAAAACTAAATTGTTGAGTTTTGTAAAACTAAAAGCCCTTAAAAAGCTAAAATTATTATTTTTTTATTGTTAGACATTTACATTTGATGTTTACATATAAAACTGAGTTCTTTAAGGAAATTGACAAAAAATAGTAATAAGAAGTATTTTTCAGCAGGCAGCCAATTTCCCCCCAGAATCGATATTGCCATAAAAGTAAGAGTCACAAAAATTATTTTTTTAAATATTGAGTTATAATTTCAAATTCTCAACTCAAAAGCTAAAATGATTCGTAGTTTGTTGAATTTTGGCAATTTATCACCTGACAGCTAGTTTTGTTTACGAGTGCCAGTTGTACGGAAAATCCAGTTATATATTTAAAAAGGGGAATCCTCAAAGTTTACAATGCAGAACATTATATGAAGGGATCTCCCAGCAGAAAAATGGTCAGTTTCAAGGGAAATTTAAATAATTATTTCTAAAGCAATAGCTGTTACAAGGCATTAATTTAATATAGATGAGGAGGATTATATGCTGTTTTAGTTACTGGATCACTAGATGGTGCCTTTATGGGCTAAAGTTTACGGTAGTGATAATATTTTACATTTTTTTGCACTGCAACCTGTGCTCAATCCCACTCATTGTGCCAGCACGGGTCACAAAATAACATTTCATCCTGTTCAACACAGTTTTACTTTTAAAAGCTGTCCCGGAGTTTGTTGTCCGGTCTTGTTCTGTGTTATAAAAGGCTCGGACGAACGCCCGCTGCCGTTCAGCTTCTTCAGAGGCACAAAGAGCTGATTCACTCGGCCGCTGACGTCTTGTCTGGCGTCCGTGTTTCTCTCTGACTCTGTTTACAAGAATGTCCGACTCCTGAGTCATCGAGCAGCTTCTGACTCTTCGACACAAAGCAAAAAAGAAAACCCCGAGGGCGCGAGATCAACGCACCAGCTGCAGCTGTCTCTGCTGAGTTCTACCGGAGTCGTCCTTCACAGTGACTTTTATCACAGTTGTTTACATTCCTCCGGACGCTAATGCTAATGAATCGCTACAGGAGCTTCATGATATCATCAGCTCGCTGCAGAGCAAACACCCCGAGGCTCTTTACGTTGTAGCCGGAGACTTTAACCACGTGAATCTAAAGGACTGTCTCCCAAGCTTTTATCAGCATGTGACGATTCCGACACGTGGAGACCGCACGCTGGACCGTGTTTACACGAACGTAAAAGATGCATACAAAGCCGAACCCCGCCCCCACCTAGGACTGTCAGACCACATCTCAATCTTCCTGGCTCCTGCTTACATGCCCCCGCTGAGACGCTCCAGACCGGTACAAAAGAAAGTTAAATGCTGGATCCAGGACAGTGGCCCCATACTGAGAGATTGTTTTGATCGAACAGACTGGCAGGTTTTCAGAGAAGCTGCTGAAAATGGAGGTTCGCTTGATCTTGACCAATACACATCCTCAGTACTGGGTTACATTAGTACATGTACTGACACAGTCTCCACTATCAGATATGTTAAAAGCTACCCAAACAGAAAACCTTGGCTGAATGCAGAGGTGCGTACCCTGCTGGAAGCCAGGAACACTGCCTTCAGGTCTGGAAACTCAGAGGAGCTGAGTAGGACAAGAAAAGAGCTGGTTGCTGGTATTAAGAGGGCCAAGGCCACATATGCAAAGAGGATCGAGGGTCAATTCATCTCACAAGACCCTCGGAGCATGTGGAGGGGCATTAAGTGCATAACAGATTATAAAGGAAGGAGTGAACAATGTCCCAAAGACCCATCTCTGCCTGATGCCCTCAACAAGTTCTATGCACGCTTTGAAGACCCGAACAGACCACCCAGCACCAGACTCACCTCACCACCGGATGAAGAGCATCTCAGCGTGACCTCAGCAGAAGTAAGGAGTACCTTCAGGAGGATTAATCCGCACAAAGCAACTGGCCCAGACAACATCCCCGGAAAAGTGTTGAAGGAATGTGCTGATCAGCTCTGTGAGGTGCTGGCAGACATCTTTAACACCTCACTTACCCTGGAGACAGTTCCCACCTGCCTGAAGACTGCCACCATCATCCCAGTCCCAAAAAGCTCTACAGTGACTGGTCTGAATGACTATCGGCCAGTGGCCCTCACCCCGATAGTCGCTAAATGCTTCGAAAAACTGGTCATGACTCACATCAAAACAACCATCAACATCAACGAGGACCCTCATCAGTATGCATACCGTGAGAACCGATCAACAGAGGATGCCATCTCCTCTGTGGTCCACACTGCGCTCAACCACCTGGAGCAGAAAAACTCTTACGTCCGTATGCTCTTTGTGGACTTCACATCCGCCTTCAACACCATGATCCCCCAAACCCTGATGGACAAACTATCCACACTAGGACTAAGCCCCTCCATTTGCAACTGGGTACTAGACTTTTTAACAAACAGACCACAGTTAGTGAGGATCCACAACCTCTCCTCCTCCACCATAACCCTCAGCACTGGCTCTCCTCAGGGATGTGTGTTGAGCCCCCTTCTGTTTACTCTGCTCACATATGATTGTGCAGCTACCCATCCAGGCTGTCACATTGTAAAGTTTGCAGATGATACAGCGGTGGTGGGATGCATCACAAACAATGATGAGTCCAGCTACAGGCAGGAGGTGGAACACCTGGAGAGCTGGTGCAGAGAGAATAACCTTCACATCAATGTGAAGAAGACAAAGGAGATGATTGTGGACTTCAGAAGGAACAAAAACATCTACACCCCCCTGAACATAAGAGGATCTGCGGTGGAAGTGGTCTCCAGCTACAAGTACTTGGGTGTACACATGAATGACAACCTCAGCTGGAGCAACAACACCACCAGCCTGATCAAGAAAGCTCATCAGAGACTCTACTTCCTCAGACGGCTGAGGCGAGCTGGTCTGGGAAGCTCAGTCCTCACCTCCTTCTACAGGTGTGCAGTGGAGAGCATCCTGTGCTCGAGCATCAATGTGTGGCATGGAGGCTGCACAGCTGCAGAAAGAAAAGCTTTGCAGAGAGTGGTGAAGGCTGCACAGAAATCTGTTGGAGTCAGTCTCCCCACCATCACAGACATCTACACCTCCAGATGCAGGAAGAGGGCCACCTGCATCATGAAGGACCCCACCCACCCAGCACACACACTTTTTGCCCCACTCCCCTCAGGAAGGAGGTTAAGGAGCATTAAGTGTAGAACCACTAGACTGAGGAACAGCTTCTACCCTGAGGCTGTTAGACTCATGAATCTCTAACTAGAATAATCACTGTGAAAAACCATATCATGTTGCTGCTGATCTGTTTCATGTTGCTGCTGATCTGTTTCAATGTTGATGTGTTCATGCGTGCACATCTGCTCACAGACTCATGTTCATGTTTGTGCTGATGTTCAATGTTTTATGTTATGAGTGCTTAGTGTATATTTAGTTGATGTTTTTCTTAGTTCATATCTTAGATGTTATTACTGTTTTTCTTATACATTTTATTGTTGGATGTAACTGGGACCCTGTGTACATAATTTCGCTCCACCACATGTACCACATGAGGTGCGAATGACAATAAAGAAACTCTGACTCTGACTCTGACTCTAAACGGTTTTGTTTTCCGGTTTTGTTTTCCGGTTTTAACATTGTCGGTTTTACTCCTGGTTTATTCGGGGAACTGTTTGACGTAAAGTGAGTGTCAGCTATACAAAGGTACCTAATAATTCAGTTTTTAGGAAAATTCTGAAGTTTGTTTTTGTAGTCATCCGGTTCTTCTGAAGGACTGAGGTTTTATTGGAGAGAAGGAGGAAATTCTCTCCGGTTGTCAAAACACCATCTCTACATTCACACGTAAATAACCGGAGGAGTGCATAACAGAAGGCTAGCACTTACTCCAAATTAAAGGCGTAGATTTAATTACCAAAATTATTATCACCCACCAAATTTCACAACAGAGTTTTAAAAGCTTATAGATATTTTATACAAACCTTATAAACACATTATTTACAATAGGGGTGCACCGATTGCAGTTTTCTGGCCGATCCACGATTTCTAAAAAGTCTGAGCTGCCGATTCTGATTTTGGCCGATACCGATTTTGTTTTATAAGCGACACTATCAGGTGTTATAAGATCACAATGCATCTTCAATTTTCCAAGCTTATTTTATTGAAAATCATACCCTTGAACAATATCCTAGAAACAATACAAACTTGTTTTAACTGGCCATGAGGTAGTGCTCTGAAATATAAATGAAGTTTAGACAATTGTTGTTAAAACTAAAAAAATCGGTTTCTCGTGCAAGTATTGGCCGATTTCCAATTTCCCAAAATTAAGGAAATTGGGGCCGATCTAATGGTACACCCCTAATTCACAATATATTAGCGCTCAGAGTATGTATTGAGGATAACTCTCAGGTACTACCACGTCAAGTTTTAGATCAATATCTATCAGACTGAGTTATAGCCAGCATTGTGATTGAGAAAGGTCGATTAGCTGTGGTGGCCATCTTGAATTGGATTGACTCCAGAAGCTAACCTTTTTGTAGACAAACACCCACCACTTACTGTCTGACAGTTTCATTCAAATCCACCCACTTGTTCTTGAGATATTTTTCTAACAGACGAAAAGGGTTGACTCCAAAACTTAATGCCAAAGTTTAAGCAAAGATCCCAGGCATTGTGTGTTCTTGTATTGTGTGTTAGGGATGACTCTCAACTACTACCACACCAAAGTTTAAATCAATTTTTACAGAACTGATTGAGTTATTGCCATCTTTGTGTTTGCTGAAGTTGATTAGCTGTGGTGGCCATCTTGATTTGAGCATGCTTCAAATATTAATCAGTTGTGGACATACATCCAAATGTTATTTCCTATAAGTTTCATTGAGCGTCCACTGGTTCGTGAGATATTTTGCTAACAGACAGATTTATTCAAAACCTTTTTTCCCACTTTTTGTCTTTTGCAATAATAAAATAACATCATGATGTTAGCCGTCATAATTTAGATCAAACTCTAATCAATGAAGACAAAATACTTTTTATTGATAAACCTACATTTTGTTTTCAGCTGTGACACAAAGTAAGATGTTTAATTTATTTGATTTATTTTTTAATCTGGGCACTTCCAAACCAAATAACATAAAAATTTTCAATGATTATTTACAATTTTGCCCTTTCTACCACACGTAGTCACGCATAGTTATCTAATAACTAATAAATTATCATTAATAAATGGACCTGGCGTCTTTCTGTGTGGAGTTTGCACGTTCTTCTCGTGCATTTGTGGGTTCTCTCCGGGTACTCCGGTTTACTTCCATAGATCGAAAACATGCATGTTGGGCTGCCTTCAGGTCCAGGCATCCTTTGCAAAAGAGATCTGTGATCTCAATGGGATTTGCCTGGTTAAATAAAGGTTAATAAATAAATATTAATTATGTGGATGCACGTCTACAACTGATTATTTGGAGCCACATCAAGATGGCCCCTGCAGCTAACCCACTTTATCAAACACTAAAGTGGCTACGAGTCAGTCAGTTTTACAGATAAGGAGCTAAAGCTGGGTGTGGTAGTAGCTGAGAGTCCTCTCCAACACATACGCCAAGCGCTAACTGATCATCTCAAATGTTAGTTTAAATGTTTGCCCTGAAGGCGGCGGGCGACGTGCATTCCTTCATGGCTTCGTGTTTTTTTATTTCTCAGGGCTGGAAGCGACACGGCCACTCCTGCTACGCTCTGACGGGTCATGAACAGAACTACGAAGACGCGCTGATGGGATATTACTGCAAAGCTCCTCTTCTCACCGTGGAAAACAGGTTCTCTGGATAAAAACAAACGTTTTCTTCTGTTTCACGTGTCGGCTGCTGCAGGGCGCTCAGCGAGCAGACCTTCGGTGTTTAAGAACGGCCTTCTCGTCTCTGCTGCTCCTTCTCGCCCTGGCAGGTTCGAGCAGGCCTTTGTGAACAGTTTGCTGAGTGCGAGCGGCGCCAACAGCAGCGTGTTCTACTGGATCGGACTCATGGACCGGGGGAGGAAGGGGGAGTACAGCTGGCTTCCTCACAACAACTCCTCCCTGCCTCTCAGCTTCACCAACTGGAACAAACATGAGCCCGGTGGGTTAAAAACACAGCTTTTCTAATGGTGGCTGCTTGTGGCTGTGGGTTTGTATGAAGTGGATCTCCCTGTATTTCCAGTCAGTGCTGGGGGATGTGTTGCCATGTCGGGTGGACCTGCTTTGGGTCAGTGGGAGGTGAAGGACTGCCGGTCCTATAAAGCCCTGTCGGTGTGTAAACAGAGCATCAGCAGCTACCACGACGCCGAGCTGCCGGAGCACCACGTTGATGCTTTCGCCCCCTGTCCTCCGGGCTGGGAATCACACGCTGGACTGCTCCACTGCTTCAAGGTTCGTCTTTTTATTCAGTTTTTATCCAAACTTTCAGCTCTCTGACATCTCAGAATCAAAAACAGAAGTGTTTTTTATTTCATAGTTTTTACATTTCAATCTCATTTTCCTCTTAGTATTTACAGAAATCTGTGACTCTTCTGTTCAGAAGTCACATTTTAACTCCCACTGGCAGATTGTTTTCAGAACTTGCAGTTTTCTCTCTAACAGCAGTTAAAGTTTATTCCCAAGACCTGCAGTCTTTTTCATTATTTTAACAAGTTGTAAAAATGCTCATTACTATGACGGAGCTTTAGGGCCGTGCTAAGAAAAAAAGAAAAAAGAAAAGCCATAAAATTATGAGAATAAAGTCATAGTATTATGAGAATAAAGTTGAATAAAGTTTTAATATTATGAGAATAAAGTTGTACAAGACTTTTTTTTTTGCATCTCGTTAATTTTTTTCCACAAGTTGGATCCACGACGCGACCTGTCAATCAATCCAGTAGGCGTGTCAGCAAATGACCAATCCGTAGCTAAATGAGTGGTAATATTATCCGAACTCCGACATGATAAAGCGGGGTTTACCGCATTTTAACTGTGGTAAAATGAAGAATGTTGAGCATCTTTGTTAAGTTATACTTTGGTACTGGTTTTACAAATAAGGAGATACTTAATCTGTTAGCACATCAGCATCAGATTATTATCAGTATCAGGACTTTGAACCTGCTGACTGTACGGTGGTACGCTCTGATGGGCTGCAGCAGCTCTGCAGGTAAGGAGCATTTAGCTTCGGATTGGTCATTTGCTGACACGCCTACTGGATTGATTGACAGGTCGCAACGTGGATCCAACTCGTGGAAAAATAAATAAATACCGGTAAATAAACGAGAGCTGCAAAAATAAAAGTCCGTATGACTTTATTCTCGTAATATTAAGACTTTATTAGACATTATTCTCATAAGTTTATGCCTTTTTTTTCTTAGCGTGGCCCTAAAACGCTGTCGTACATTACAAACTATGAAATCAAACAAAAAAGATTATCCTGAATTATATGAAAGTTGTTTTCAAGATAATCTTTTTTGTGTTTGTTTTCATAGTTGGCTGTTGCCTTTCAGTGAGAAGGTTGCCGGTTCAAATCCTGGCCCGGGACCTTTCTGGGTGGAGTTTGCATGTTCTCTCCATGCATGTGTGGGTTTTCTCCGGGAGCTTCGGTTTCCTCCCACAGACCAAAAACATGCATGTTAAGCTGATTGGTAACTCTAAATTGGCCCTAGGTGTAAGACAGTGAATGGTTGTTTGTCTCGTTTGTCTCGATGTGTCCCTTTGATGGACTGGAGACCTGTCCAGGGTGTCCCTCGCCTCTCAAAAGTTATCAAGAACTAAATCAAAGGTTATCTTGAACTCTGTCAAACAATCTAACAAGGTTGAGTCAGGTCCTCTGGACGGATTCTTCTTTGTTGAAATGTTTCATCTTTAATCCAGAATACTTCTTCTGAAGTCCTCTGAAGAAGTATTTTGGATAAAAGACGAAACGTTTCAACAAAGAAGATTCCATCCAGAGGACCTGATTCAACCTTATACCTTCATCTACCTGGTTTATTGAGCCTGCATTAAGATATACCAAAGAATATCCAGAGTTAGGATGCACAATATTATCGGCATGGTATCGGTATCGGCCGATATTAGCGTTAAAGTTAAATATTGGACATCGGCCATTCCATCAAATTAACTGTCCGATATAAAAGACACTGTTTTTGTATGACAACCCAGTGACAAGGATGCTTGCAGCGCCAGCACAACGTGATGACGTCACACGTGCCTACCTGATCTGATCATGGTGGAGAGGAAAATTCTAAATGTTGGCGGTGTGAAAGGTTTTTTTCATTGAGGATGTCGGATTCCAAAAATTTCTGGACTACGTTGAGCCTCACTACATCGTCCCCAGTCGGAGATATTTTTCTGACATAACCTTACCCGAGTTACAAGCCGTCATCTCTGACGTCATTGAGAAGCTAATAGCCGATAGCACTTGGTTGAGTTTTTCCACAGACATTTGGACGTCAAGTGTTAGCCCGTTAGCATGATTAGTCTTACGGCACAATGGATAGACAAAAACTTTGAACTTAAAAAGGCTGTCCTTCATGCACAGGAGTGCAGAGGATCCCACACTGCAGCTAGGAGCCTGGAACAAGCCTCCACAAGTGAGACAGCATCGTAGGTGACTCATGCTAATAAATAACATTTAACGCTTTTCATTTAATAGAAGTTAAAGTGCTCTGCATATGGCTGTTACTGAATATATGTCACCAGCTCTTACACAATTTTTATAGCAAATAAGCCTAAATAAGAGGGCTATGTTCTGACAAAGTATATTAAAAAATATCTGTATCGGCCAAATAAGTTTTAATATATCGACATTCGGGTATCGGCCAAAAATCCAATATTGTGCATTCCTATCCAGAATTATAATAAAGGTTATTTTAAATAATCATTCTTGTTCTAAATAAGATTTTGTTTGTCCAGATCTTAACAGCTGTTCTGCTGTTTGAACACTCGTACTATAAAAGCTGCACTTTCTAAATTTACCAAAGTAAATGCAATAAATGGTGCGTAGGTTCAAGGTGTACATTCCGTTAACATTTATCAACCAATCTGAGCCCTTGTAGGACTTCCTTCAGGTCCAGATCCAGACTGAGGTTCTAGCCTAGACCCCGTCCCTGTTGTGTTTCTCTTCTAGGTGTTCCATGATGAGAAGATCCTGATGAAGCGCTCCTGGGTGGAAGCAGACTTCTTCTGCCAGGCCCTCGGGGCCCAGCTGGCCAGTTTCCAGCACTATGAGGAGCAGATGTTTGTCAAACACCTCCTCAGCACCATGTTTGAAGGGTTGGTACCGGCCCTCGGGACACATCGCTTACGAGCAGTTCTGATAACTCTTGTTAAAAGATAAAATGTGGTTTGGACTGTGTTTGTGGTCTTCAGTTGGTTATTTCCCTGCAGCTTGACCCGTTCAGTCGTGGGAACATGAAAGTCCCCTACTTTCAGTTCTCGGGCAGAACCTTCAGTGATTTCCTGTTTGTCCCTCAAAGTTCTGGAGGAGTTCTGGTTCACTCTTCTTTCCAACACTGAGGGTTCTGCTCAGCTCTCTGAAGGTCCACCACAGCGTCTCAGTCAGGTTGAGGTTCTGGACTCTGACTGGACTGTTGCAGCGCCTTGGTTCTGTTCTTTCAGACCCGTTCTGCTGTAGATCAGCTACTGTGTTTGAGATCATGGTTCTGTTGGACCCAGTTTGGTCCAAACTTCAGCTATTGAACAGATGGACTCATCTGACTCCAGAACTCTGGTCTCTAGAGGAGTTCTGGTCCACTCAGAGACTGACAGGAGCCCAAACCATCAGCCTCCACACCGTGCTGACAGCTAATTGCTGCAGTGCATTCTGGGTAAACATCTGTCCTCTGGTCTGGTTCTGGTCCAGAAGTCTTGTGGTTCCTTCAGATGAAACTTTCCAAGCCTAAATCGAGCTGCCATGTTGTTTTTAGAGAGAAGAGGTCATGACCTTTGACCTGCTGACTGAGGCCTGTAGTCACTGTATGGTCTGACCTTCAGGGTGAATCAGCTGGGAAGACTGTCAGCTGTTGGAATGTTTTCCACGTGTGAATAATCTCTCTCTGAAGAATGATGGACTCCACAGTTGGTTTGGAAATGACCCTTGACCCTTCCCAGATTGGTGGACAGTAACAGCTGCTTCTCTGAGGTCATTGCTGATGTCTTTCCATCCTGGCACTGTGTTAACACACACCTGGATGTTTCATACCTGATCATTTTATTTTGTCTTAAAATGTAAAATCCTGAACTTTACAAGTTGTACTGGCTGTAAATCTGTGTTTTATTAATAATAATAATGAATAAAAGTAAATGTATTGTTTCCAATAATATTATTAATGTTTAAAAAACATAAATAGTGCAAGTTTTTTTACAGAACTGTTTCAAATTTGCCTTTTTAATTCAAACTTCAGTCTGAGTTTGTGTTCTGATCCTGTTTGTGTTCGTTTTAGAACAGCGGGCCGCTGGTTCTGGGTGGGCTTGAATAAGAGAGACCCCGAACACCTCGGGTCCTGGGAGTGGTCCGATGGTTCTCCGGTAAGTGTCCTCAGGTGTTTCTCGTGTGGAGAAGGTGCCCCTTTCACCCGGTCTCTGTGCAGGTGGTGACGTCCTTCATCGAGGACAAGAACGAGGACGACGAGCACCGGGCCTGCGCCGTGTACGGCGACCTGACCAACGCTCTGATGCCGCGGCAGTGTGACACCAAACACGAGTGGATCTGCAAACTGTCCCGAGGTAAACGCCCACCTCACCACCGCTCGGCGCCCAGTCGCGCTGTCAGAACCCACCTCTGACCAGAACTCTGGTTTCATTACAGGAGACGAACTGATCAAACCCTACTGGTACGCTGAGCGTGAGTACATCTGTTCATTCTAATGCTGTAGACTGAAAATAAGATTTGGTCCTGCCGGGACCTGAACCACGAAGCAGGCTCAACTTATCCTGGGCTTCTTTTAGAGATCTGGTTTAACTAATCCTAACTTGTGGTACTTTGGTTAACTCAAGCCAGGACTTATGACTCGGGATCTGTAGCTGTGAAGCTAGGAAAAAAAACCACATGCACAATATTTCCTGATGGAATGCTTATCGCCCGCCTCCTTTCAGGTTTAAATTAACATGGACTCATGTTGAGTGACGAAGCTGCTGCCTTTTGATCAAATCTTGTGAATTCTGTTGTGCTCATGTAAACCCATAAAATCTCCTGCGATCTTATAGCTCTCAAGAGAAGTACCGTATTTTCCGGCGTACAAGTCGCATCCGTCAAAAAAAAACATCACGAAGAGGAAAACACATACATAAGTCGCTTCTGCGTACAAGTCACATTTATTATGCGTCACTGCTGACCCGTTGCGTTTATTATGCATTTATTTAATGGTCAAAACAGCTTCATTTCGCCTGGGCGGCACAACACCATCCATCCATCCATCCATCCCTCCATCGTGGCTAGCTCTCCAGCGTTCCTTCGCCTGCACCAGCTGAGTGAAGCGAATGCGCACAGGAGGACTCATTGCAGTTCTTCGAAGTTTAACAACATTAACACTTAAAAGTAATTATTTGTTTTCTCATCATTATAGCAAAAGTTTGTCTCGGTTTAACTTTTCCTTAATAAATACACTTTAATGGTCAAAACAGCTTCATTTAAAGCATCAGTCAAAAATTGCGTTATGAATATGGCACTTCGACATATAACCCGCAGGACTGACAAATCTATGCAAAAAAAACCTGCGACTTATACGCCGGAAAATACGGTACTTGAAGACTACCCCTACTACCAGACTAAATTTTAGTTCAGTATTTATAAAAATTGATTTGTTTTTGGCCATTTTTGTGTTTGCTAATCTTGATTAACTGTGGCAGCCGTCTTGAATTGTGATGGCACCAAATATTCAGTTGTAGACGCACATCCAAATATGATTTCCTGTAGGTTTCATTAAAACCTATCCAGTAGTTCATGAGATATTTTGCTAACAGAAATACACAAGCCAAAACATTATCGCCCTATGCTGAGAGGCAAAAAGTGGGCGATAAAAGCATAGTTGAATACACAAACTTTACTCCAGAAAAGATTTTTACCGTTTAATGTTAATAAAGGAACAAATTTTAAAGACAACATTTTCAAACTGAGGTCTCGGGTCATTTTGACCCAAGGGCAGCAGGAGGGTTTAGTCTGAGAAGGTCTGAGCATCCAGCTGACAGAAGGTTTGAGGTGACAGATTTTGTTGTTTGGTGCTTTCATGCAGCCGTAATGAGCTTGACGACCAGCCGATCTGAAGTTTGGAGTGTTTCCGTGTTTCCTGACCGCGGCTGGTCTCGTTGCAGAGAGCGAGCCCTGGGTGTTTTACCGCGGAGCCGAGTACCGGCTGGCCAAGCAGCTGTTCAACTGGCACTCCGTGTCTCTCGGCTGTCAGATGATGGGAGGACACCTGCTGTCCCTTCACTCCACGGAGGAGCTGCACTTCATCAAGGAGCGCCTGCGACGGGTTTGTAGGCCGATTTTACCCGCGTGTCTGTAGGCATCTCACAAGCCAGACTGTCTGTCAGCAAAATATCTCATAAACCAGGGGATGGAGACTAACGGAAATAATCATTGGATAAACGTCAACAACTGGTTAACTTTTGGAGTCAATGTGGAAGAGGAGCCATCGTGGAAAGATAAGTTCCTGCACAGCATGTTCCACCAGCAGGTTGAGGGCGTGGCTGATATCAACAAGTCCTACCAGTGGCTAGACTGGGATGAATTGAAGGACAGCACAGAGACGCTAATCATGGCAGCACAAGAACAGGCCCTCAGAACAAGAACAATAGAGGCTGGACGGGGTCTACCATACCAGACGAGACCCGAGATGCAGGCCGTGCAAAGATGCCCCTGAGACAGTCCAACACATGCAGGGTGTAAGATCCAGGCAGGCAAAACATGCCTGGAACGCCATGAATAATAAGAATAATCGCCATGAACGCTGGAATAATATACAGGAACATCTGGAATAATATACAGGAACATCTGTGCAGAGTATGGACTGGAGGTCCCTCAGTCAAAGTTGGAGACTTCACCAAGGGTGGTGGAAAATGGCAGGGCTGAGATACTGTGGGGTGGTGCTGGGTACGTTTCTGCTAATCCACTTATAGTGGAACATACTTTCCGTTTAGCAGATTAGCGTTTTTTGCTTCTGTGAGAACCTTTAGTGGAAATAACTTCCACTAAATTTAGTGAACTCAAGTCTGCAACATTTTTTTTTTAAAGACGGTTCTACGCACTGCAAGCGTACAGGAGGACGGTGATTTACGCGGTGCAGAGCTAAGCACCAGCAGGTGATGTCACCACCCTCGCAATGCTTTCCTCCTCATATTTACCATTAGCAGTCTCTGACTCCTGGTGTCACTTTACAGCCAATAACAGAGACTTTAACATAAATGAAGCCAAACCAGAACAGGAAAATAACACGAAAAAAACATTTTCACTCAAACATCAAACAGTCAGAAACATTGCACACACATAAGTCCTACGCTTTGCAACGCTCACACTTTCTCTGGGACGTGACTCTCTCACATATTTCATGTGTCTTTACTTTAATACAAACAGATTTATTACTGAGAGAATATTGATGGTGACGCACAGCAACTTTGTAGTTAGTTTATAAAAGTAGTTAACCATAGTGAGTTAATTCATTATAGTAAATGACACAAAAGAGATGTCCGACATACTTTGTACATCGACCGCATCACTTTGCTTCAGCACAGCAGAGTTCTGCTCCACGTCTTTGGTTCCGATGGACCAGATTAATTTCTGAATGCTCACCTCTGAATGGGAAATGGACGCTTTACCTGGGGTTTATGAACCATTCTGAGTTGTGTTCACTTACAACGTTGTCACATTACAGACAGTCCCACAGCGACAGCAGTGGGTGATAAAAGTTAGCGCTTTAGCGTTAGCTTCCAATAAATTATTTATCTGTTTAGCGTTTTAGTGTTAGTGAAGCTAAATGTTTAGTAAGTGAATTAGCAGTTAGCAAAGCAAATTTTTTGATTAACTGTGCCCATGTGGGACTTCCAGATCCAGACTGGCAAACAGTTGATGGCTAACCAGCTGGACATTGTGATGGTCGACGACAAGAGATGAAGGCAGCGGTGAAGGATGTAGAAATCCTGAATGACTGTAACATCAGGAAGAAGGAGCAGCTGGAGAAATACCAATAGAAAAAAGTGGAAATACAGAAGTTGTAACGTCAAGGCCTTACTGGTTCCAGTGATCATTAGAGCACTTGGTGCTGTGACCCCCAAACCTGAAGAGTGACTCCAACAGATCCCAGGAACAACCCCAGAGATCTCTGTCCAGAAGAGCTCAATTCTAGGAACAGCTAAGATACTGAACTGAACCCTCAAACCCCCGAGCCAACATGTAAGCTCTAAGCTTCTCGTCTTGTTTCCTGTTTTTGGTGTATTCTCGTGGCTGTTACAGCGCCACACGCAGGCCTGGCAGAGTTACTGCACCCTTCTGGGTCGCTCTCTGACAGTCTGCGTGGAGAAAAACATTTCCAGAAACTGTCATGTTTATGAGAATATTTATTAGACACATCCATTATCTTGACCCGCTTCTTCCTTTTTGGGTCACAGGGGTCACTGGTGTCCAACAAGTTTTGTGTGAATGAAGCCTAAATCTTTGATTAAGTATTTCCACCCTCTTGTTTTCAGCGAACACACACAGAGGAGCACGCAGACAAAGAGTCTACCTAATCACAGTTTTATAGTTGTTAAACCGCCCAGAGGAGCCATTACTTAGTTCACACAGCGAGGAGTCAACAGGCGTGAAGACAAACACTCTCCTTCCTCAAACAGACTTGAGTGTTTGCAAAAACACACAAACGAGCCCAAAACGAGGGCCCTTTAACGCTCGAGTGGCTCCACTCAGAGGAGGGCAGGAACCGGGCCGCCTGCTGGCAGCAGCCGTTTGGATCGGACCTAAGTTCTCTGTGGTGTCGAGGACCGAGGGGAGGGGATGAAGGGATCAAGACGAGGCCATGAAAGGAGCAGATTCGGCTCCTGAGAACCCAGAGAGGAAAAGTAGAGTTGTGTTAACCCCTGTTCTTTCACAGTTCTCTCTGGGGCCGACCGACTGGTGGATCGGACTTTCCTTCGGCCAACCGGGAGACGAGCTCAGGTGGGTCGGAGAGGTTTGGAGCGTTAACTGGATGAGTAGTTTAGATTTGATCTTTCGTTTATCCGTCTTCTGCCGATCAAGATTCAACTTGCCTGCTGGATTCCTCAGATAGAGAACTTTACTAATTGGCTTTTATGTTTGTGAATGTTCCTGTAAAGTGCCCTGAGACAACTTTGTTGTGATTTGGCGCTATATAAATAAACTGATTGAATCGCTGTACGAGCTCGCTCGCTTCTCGTCTCGCCTCCTGAGCAGCTCCTCTGTTCGTCGTTTATCGTCAGCTTTTTAAAGTGAAAGTTAAAATGAGACTTAATTTTTTGTTGTGGGAATGCTGAGTCAGCACTGTTGTTTATAATATCTCTCACGTGTTTTGGACGGTTTAATTTCTGCATATTTTGTGTTATTTTAAATTTTCAAATACCCAAAACGTTCAGCTCAATCAGGACAAGGGCGCCACGACTTTTAATTTTTGTAACTTTCATACCTTTTAACATATTTAACTTTATTTACTAAATATTTTCCCCATAAATGCATGACGCTCTTTTCAGTTTCTCCAAAGAGTTTGTTTTCTTTAAATCTGCTTCAGCTGCTCGCTCAATCTGTTTTCTTGCCATTTTAATCTTTTATTCACTGTGTTTTAACTAATGTTTTGAGCAGTTTAGCACTTACCTGCAGTTCTGCTAAAGTGCTTTTTAGCTTTTAGCTACTATTCCAGCTTTAGCTTTTATATACTGTTCCACTAAGTAAAAGTTTTAGCATCTGTTTTAAATGTTTTAGGTTTTAGATGCAGTTTTGCTAAATTTGTTTTTATTTTTTTCTACACTTTGTGCAATTAAGCTTTAAGCTGCTCTGGTTTTAGCTTTTAGCTACTAACTAAATTTCATTTTTATCTACAATTTGTACGTTTTGGCTTTTAGTTAGTTTCAGTTGGTTGGCTTGGACTTTGTTGTTTTGGCTTTTAGTCAGGCAGCACAGTGGCTCAGTTGGTAGAGCTGTTGCCTCTCAGTGAAAAGGTCGCCGGTTCAGATCCCAGCTGGGGCTACTATTCTGGTTTTAGCTTTGAGCTACTGTTCTGCAGAAAAATGGCCACATTTTGTGTTTTTTACCTTTTAGCTACTGTTCTGCTAAATTTAACTTTTAGGAACTGTTTTGCATGTTTTAGCTTTAGCTGCCGCTCAGCTTGTTTGAGTTTTTATCTGTCTGGCTCAGCTTGTGTTTTGACCATTTTAACTTTACCCACTCAGCTTCTTCGGCTGTTATTTAGCGCCCACCTTTCATTTTTGCTGGAAAACGCTAATTTTAGCTGAATTTATTTTCCAGGTGGAGTGACAAAACTGTGGTGGACTTCATGAACTGGGCCGACGGAGGAGTTCAGAGGGAGGCTGGGATGTGCGTCACCATGTCGTCTTCAACAGGTAAACACCAGCAGACGGGTCGGTGGTTCGTTTCTGCTCATGCTGAGTTGATGTTGTTGTTGATGTTGTTGTTGATGCTGTTCTCATTGTTCTCAATGATGTTGCTGCTGTCCATGTTAATGTTGTTTTCATCGTTAATGCTAATGTTCTTGGTGATGTTGTTGTTGATGATGTTGTCGTTGTTTGTTGTTGTTGTTGTTTGTTGATGTTGTTGTCATTGATGTAGTGGTTGTTGATAATGGTGTTGTTGATGCTGTTGTTGAAATTTTGCTGTTCTTGATAATATTGGTTTTATCATTGTTGTTGTTGAGGTTGTTAAAGTTGTTGATGTTGATTTTGTCATTGTTGTCATTAACGTTGTTGTTGAGGTTAAAGTTGCTGCTGTTCTTGTTATTGACGCTGCTGTTGTTGTTGTTGTTATTTGTGCAGTTAATGCTGTTGTTGTTAAAGTTGTTGCTGATCTCGTTGATGTCACTTTTCTCGTTGTTGTTGATGCAGTTCATGTTGTTGTTAAAGTTGTTGATGTTACTGTTCTTATTTTTTATGCTGTTGTCGTTGTTGATGTAGTTGTTGTCGTTGTTGCTGTTAATGTTGTTGTTGCAGGGAAGTGGTCGACCCGTAAATGCAGTGAACTCCACGGATACGTGTGCAGGAGGAACACGGTGTCTGTGGTGGAGACGGCCCAGGAGCCACATTACATCGGAGAATGTCCGGAGAAATGGCTCTACTTCGGACACAAGGTTTGAATGAACGCACGCTCACAGAAGCAAAGCCATTATCACCCGCCAAGCCTCTGTCTGTGTACATTTGTTTATGTCTGTTAGCAAAATATTTTACGAACCATTGGACAGATTTTAACGAAACTCCCAGAATTCCATCTACAACTTGTTCTGGATTGTCGCCACAGCTAATGGACATTAGCTAAGATGAAAATGGCTATAACCCAGCCAAACTTACAGATAATCAGCTAAAGTTTGGTGTGGTAGTAGCTGAGAGTCATCCCAATGCATACTCTGAGCACAAACAAATAAGATCTTGATCTTTGTTTAAAACTTTGCCTGCATTGCAGCGGGTGAAACGCATTCCTGTACAGAATCCTAGTTTTAATATTTACAAATCTCTTTCTCCTTTAAACTTCACACTTTGTCTTTTTTTTCCTTCATTTTTTAATAAAAAATATGTCTGAGTCTCGCAGAACATCCAACAAATGCTTTCTGAGAGTTTCATTAAGATCCATCCAGTGGATCACGAGATATTTTGCTAACAGCCAGGTGAAGAAACTCAGTTGGGACTTCTTCAGGGATTTGTGAAAAATATTAAAACTTAAGCTGTTACAGCAGCTAAATACACATTTAAATCCCTTTTTTTTCCAGTTTTACCAAACATCAAGCTAACGTTAGCCGACAGCATTTTGTCCTCTCCTCTGGACCCTGATCTCCTCGGTCTGGTTTGGGTTTGGGAATGCTGGTTACTGTTTCCTGATCCAATGGTCCTGTTTTGTGTGGGATGTGTGTGTTTTGCCGTCAGTGTCTCCTGCTTCACCTCCCTGGCACTCCAACGGAGGGGAAAAGCTGGAAAGACGCTCAGTCGATCTGCTCCTCGTTCCAAGGCTCGCTGGTTTCCGTGGAGGACGAGATCGAACAAGGTGGAAGAAGTCCACGACGACCTGTTTAATCTACCAAAAATATATATTTATACTTCTTTGTTTTATTTCTGTTTGCTCGTTCCTGCAGCCTACATCACCATGCTGCTCCAGGGCAGCTTGGTGGGGGTGTGGATAGGTCTGCGTGACGAGGACACCATGAAGTGGGCCAACGGGAAACCGGTCAGCTACACCAACTGGTCTCCAATGGAACCAAAGAGCCCCATCACTGTAAGCCTTGGGGAGTACTCACGTCTCCTTCACTCGTCCGCCAAACTCATAGCTTTTAAAGTATCTAACCCTCCTGCTGCCCGTAGGTCAAAACGACCCACAAGGCCTCGGTTTAGGCTGAGACTTGACGCATGCTCTCCGTATAATTGTGTTCCTGGATTTGTGTCTGTTTGCTTTACCCCCCAGCACGATGAGTGGCTCACTGATGAACCTCTTTGCACCGTTCTGTCCAACAACCAGTACATCCATGTGACGGGGAAGTGGTACTACGATATTTGCAGCGAGAGCGAGTACGGCTTCGTTTGTCAGAAACCTCAAGGTACCGCTCCATCTGTACCCCAGTGTTGTTGCTGAGTTTGAATTATCCACTGCGTCACTGTGTGTGAATCACAGCTGTTACTGTTGATCTACTATATAATGTCCTAGAACAGTGGTTCTCAAACAAGGGGGCCAGGACCCTCTCTAATGGGGTCATGGTTCTTAACTTGGAGGTCTGGCACCCTCAAAGGGGACATGGTTTTCAACCAAGGGGGTCAGCACCCATCTGTGTGGAGCAAGGTTCTCAACCTACAGGGCTGACACATTCCTGAGGGGGGCACTTAAGAGCCATTTCACACTAAAATAAACATGACAAGACAAATCTAAAAAAGTTAAATCTGGTCCTCTGGGCATTCAAAAAATGATAAGAAAGATTTAAATGCATCAGACTCTGTCGTTACACACAGGACTGTGTGTTTATTCAATTTAAAGAGTTAAAAATTCACTTTTGTCTGCAAGTTATTTGCTGAATTATTTATAAATTAACAGAAATTACACAAAAATTAGGATATTAGCTCATAAAAGCTGAAATTAGCAAAAAATAGCTGAATGGCAGAAAGAAGCTTAAACTACCAGAAGGAAGTGGAAAGAACTGCAATGAGCTAAAAAAAAATGTAGAAATTGCTGAAAAAGCTAAATAGTAGCTGAAATAGCAGAACAAGCTGAAATGCAGAAAAAAGCTGAAAGGAGCATAACCAGCTGAAATCAGAAAAAAGAAGTTAATTAGGCTGAAATTTGCAGACATTACCATGGTAAACTATCTGAAAACAGCTGAAATTAGCTAAAAAATGCTAAAAAAAAAAAAAAAAAAAAAGATGGCTGAAAAAGTAGACCAAGCTTAGATTAACAGATGAACATGTTTGCTCAATTAGGCTGAAAGAAGCAGAAATGAACTCATAGAAGTGGAAATTATCTGGGAAAAAAGCTGAAATTAGCACAAAAAAAAAAACTGTTGAAAGCAGCTAAAAAGTCAGAAAGAAGCTTAAATTACCAGAAGGAAGCGGAGAGAGCACATTTTTGATGAATTAGGCTGAAAAAGGTTGAAATGAGTGCAAAAAGTGTGGAATTAGCCAAAAAGGCTAAAATTAGCATAAACAGCTAAATAGTATCTGAAATAGCAGAAAAAGTTGAAACTTGCAGAAATAAGCTGAAAGGACCATAACAAGCAGAAATTAGCAGAAAAAAGTTTGAAGAAGCACAAAAATGTTGTAATTAGTAGAAACAATCTGAAAGGAGCACAAACGGTTGAACAAACGGCTGAAGTTAGCTTAAAGTAGCTGAAAAATGTTTAAATTTGCTAAAGGAAGCTGAAAGAAGCTGAAGCAGCACAAAATGTGAAAGGAGCAGTAAAAGGTGGTAAACAGATCTAAAGATCTGAAGGATGTAAAATGAGCTCAACTCATTTTCAATGAGAACAAAAATGGCAGAACAGACTAAATATTTCAAAAAGCTAAAGTTGCACCAACACCAAAAGTCATAGCAGGATTGTCCTGAAAGATCTGAATGTTTTGATTTATGATTTGTTGAAACAGCTTGAAACCTGCGGGATGAGAATCGCACCGAACGATGTACGGAAGAAAAATGGATCATGTTTGTGTGAGCGCTTCATGAACGTTCACACAATGAATGAGCAGCTAAGACGGCACTGAACCGATGTTTTACTGATGAATGTCAACAACTGATTCACCGATAAAACATGCGCGTTAGGTTCATTGGTGTCCTGCATGTGTCCCTGTGATGGACAGGCGACCTGTCCAGGGTGTCCTCCACCAGTCGCACATTCTGCACATCTGTCTTGAGGCTCAACGTTGAGCGTTTTTATCCTCATATTTGAACAGACAACTCAGTTTTCTGACATTTTTATGATAACTACAGATTTTTGCGGACATGTACTCAAAACTACAACCGTCATCGTACGGAAGAAGCAGCTGAAGAACTTTACAGGGTGAAAAGGTGAAATAACTTCAGCTGACAGGGTCCTTCGGCTGGTCTAAATCCAGCTGACCTGCATTCCTCTCAGATACCAAAATAAAATCAGAGCGCTCGCAGCAAAGACCTGAGGAGCTGACATTACTATTAAATAATGATAATTAAATATTAAATGATAATAATAAATGTTATTTGCTGATGTTCATGCATCAGTAACCTCAGGCTGTCAAACATTTGTACAAAATGTGATCGTTAGTTCGCGAACGAACGAGATGCAGTCAGTTACAAGAAGGTCCGCTCTTTATGGATCAGAACATAAACCTGATCTGGTCTTTATCAGGTTCTGGAAAGATCCAAATCTGACCTGAAGTGAACAAACACACACACCAGGTTTCTCTGACAGAACCTGGTTCCAGGTCCTGATCCAGCAGCTTGTAGAACCTCCTACAGCAGCAGAACCTTCAGTGGTTTCCTGTTTGTCCCTCATGGTTCTGGAGGAGTTCTGGTCCACTCTTCTTTCCAACACTGAGGGTTCTGCTCAGCTGTTTGAAGGTCCACCACAGCGTCTCAGTCAGGTTGAGGTTCTGGACTCTGACTGGACCGTTGCAGCATCTTGGTTCTGTTCTTTCTGACCCGCTCTGTTGTAGATCAGCTGCTGTGTTTGGGATCATGGTTCTGTTGGACCCAGTTTGGTCCAAACTTCAGCTGTTGAACAGATGGACTCATCTGACTCGAGTACTCTGTTCTCCAGAGAAGTTCTGGTCCTCTCAGTGACTGACAGGAGCCCAAACCATCAGCCTCTACCACCGTGCTGACAGCTGGGAGGAGCTGTTTGCTGCAGTGCATTCTGGGTAAACATCTGGTCTGGTTCTGGTCCAAATGTATTTCAAATGGGTTGGAAATGAACTTTGAGCCTTCCCAGATTGATGGGCAGCAACATTAGCTTCTCTAAAGGTCATTGCTGATGTCTTTCCATCTTGATGTTGTTTTAACTCTTTTTAGAGGCAGCTGTGGCTGAGTGGTTAGAGCAGTCGTCCTCCATTGTGAGAGTTGGGGGTTCGATTCCACCAACAGTCACATGCTGAATTGTCCCTGGTCAAGCCAGTGAACCCCTCACTGCCTCCGATGTGTGTCCCATCGGTGAATGGATGTGATAAAGCTCTGATTATTCTGTAGAGATAGTAGAGAGCTGTATGAACGGGTCAATGAGGGCACAGGTTGTGTTGTAAAGAGCTTTGAGTGTCTTGATAAGACAGACAGGCACTAGATACGGGCAGTCCATTTACCATTTAACTCACACCTGTGTGGTCCGGAGCAACAAACTAATTCAAAACGTGTACTTTGTGTTTCTCATGACTGTAGGTGGAAGACTCCAGATGGTTTGGAAACTTTTCACGTGCGACTAAACATGGAATAATCTTTTAAATCATCATGAAATAACAATTCTGACATATTTTACCAGCGTTCCTGCTTCTCTGTTTGTGTTCTCTTGCTGCAGACACGTCCAAACCCCCCACCCACACCTACCAGTACCCTCTGCCTGACAACATTGAGTACAAGAGCCACAACTACAAGGTTGTGTCTGGCAACATGAGCTGGTACGACGCCTTGCACAGGTGCATACAGCACAACTTGGACCTCGTGAGCATCACAGATGTGTACCACCAGGCTTTCCTCACCGTCCTTGTCAACAGATTGGATTTACCGCTCTGGATTGGGCTGTATAGTCAAAACGTATGTATCTGCTCGTACAGTATGTAGCGTATATGTCTGCGTGTTTGTTTGACGTGGGGCGTGGCTGCTTTTTCTAGTTTAGGTGTTCCCTGCTGAAATAAATATTTGGTCCTTTACAACCCAGGCAGGATTCTGGTTCCCACAGATTGGTTACAGTCAATCAACTACAGACACTCCTGATCCACTCATTCTGTGCTTAAAGTTCAGAGTCTAGTTCGTGTCCCTGACGCCGGGCAAAGAGGGGAATGAGAAATACCCTCCGTCCGTGTTGTGAGCCTGATAACTTGGAAAATAAGTGGAGTGATCTAGACTGAGTGTCACACACTTTCATGACACCCGCTCCAAGGTCAAGGTCCCAAATCAAGGTCAAAGTTATACAAGGTCTTTGCTTGTCCAGGACACTGCCATACATTGCTGTATAATAGCTTGTTGATGGGTGTATAATGTGCCGTATGTGGTACTCGTTATTTTAATTCAATTCAGTTTATTTATGTACTGTAGCTCCAAGTCCCAACAGAAGTCGTCTCGGCACTGAACAAAAACGTTCACAGACATTATTAAAAGCCAATCAGTAAAAGTTCTCTAGCTAAGGAAACCAGCAGATTGTGTTGAATCTTCACTTCGTTGCAGTCTCTCATCCTGAGCACAAAGCAGAGGCAACAGAGGAAAGGAAAAACTCCCTTTCAACAGGAAGAACTCTCCAGCAGAACCAGGCTCAGGACGAGCGGCCGTCTGCTTCGACCAGCTGGGGTTTGAGAGGACAGGAAGTAGAAATGGACAAACAGAGTGGCAGGTTCCGGTGGACTTTCTATTGAAGCAAAGACAAAATAACATGTAAAGGATAAAAATAATTACAAATACAACCAGGTAGAGTAGAGCAAGTAAAGACATCAGCAGAGTGAGGAAATTAGGTCAATGTGTCCTCCAGTGGTCTAAGCCTATAGCAGCATAACTAAGGAATAGGTCAGGAAACCCAAGTCCACCCTAACTATAGGATTTATCAAAAAGGACAGTCTTAAGCCCAGTCTTAAAACTAGACAATGTGTCAGCCTCACAGACAGAAACTGGATGTTGGTTCAACAAGAGAGGAGCCTGAGAACTGAAAGATCTGCCTCCCATTCTGCTTTTGGAAACTCTAGGAACCACAAGTAAACCCGCAGTCTGAGTCTGAGAGCAAAGTGCTCTATTAGGAAAAAATGGAACAATAAGATCTCGAATATAAGATGGAGCTAGGTTGTTGAGAGCTTTGTAGGTTAGAAGTAAGATTTTGAATTCTATTCTGGATTTGACAGGGAGCCAGTGGAGTGAAGCTAAAACTGGAGCGATATGAACTCACCTACTAACTCCGGTTAAGACTCTGGCAGCAGCATTTTGGATCAACTGAAGACGTTTTAAACAAGTATTTGGACACCCAGATAATAAACCATTGCAATAGTCCAGTCTAGACGTGACACATGCATGGACCAGTTTTTCTGCATCATTTTCAGATAAGATGTTTCTAATTTTAGTGATATAACACAGGAGGAAGAAGGTGGTTCTAGTAACGTTTTTAATGTGGGGGATAAAAGACATGTCCTGATCAAAAATAACACCAAGATTTTTAACATTAGAGCTGGAGGACAGATTAATGCCATCTAAGGAGGGAGAAAGACTGAAAAAATTATTCCTAAGGTGCTCAGGTCCAAAAACCGAAACTTCAGTCTTGTCTGTGTTCAACAGGAGAACATTAAGGGTCATCCAGGTTTTTATGTTTTAAGACATGCTTGTAGTTTAAGTAGCTGATTGGAGTCATTGGGTTTAATGGACAAATATAATTGTGTATCATCAGCATAACAATGAAAATGTAATATTTTAGCTCTGTTTGCATACTGATAAAAAATAACTATTTTTGGTGATACATGGGTTAACGCTTGAAATTTACACATCTTCAGAAAACTTGATTTGCAACCAGACTGTAACTTCTAATGAGTTGTTTTGTGCCACAAATGGAGCAGTCTGACACATTTTTGGGTTGTGAATCGTTCCAGAGTGGCATCAGTTATCAGTGGTCAGATGGCACCGACATGTTGTACATGCACTGGGACGTGGATGACGATGACGACGACTTTGTGACAGGGGAGTGTGTGTACATGGACGTGAATGGAGACTGGCGGAGAGCCGACTGTGAAACTCCGCTGTCGGGAGCTCTGTGTCACGTCCCTCCGTCAAGTCAGTGAGAATCTGATCGTTAGAAACTGATTTCTCATGGGCTGTGTGAAAACCCACCCGGTCTTTTCTCCTTCTGCTTCTTCAACAGACCGTAAACCTTTTGTCCACTGTCCGTCCACGTGGGTGAAATTCGAACGTGGATGTTACAACTTTGAACCTGTGGTTGAAAAACTGACCTTTGAGGAGTCGAGGCAGCACTGTAAACATAAAGGTAAAGTATTTACATGTGGGGACTTTAGTCACCCCCATTATTTGATAAAGTTGTGTGCTTTTATTTGTCTGTTACATCATAAAAGCTCAATTAATGTCAGTTTTATCTTACTACGGATGAATTTCTATGAAAATTGCACAAAATAATCATTGGATGAACGTCTGACTGATTAAGTTTTGGAGTCAACTCGATTCAAGATGGCTGCCACAGCTAGTCAAATTTTTGCGATCACAGAAATGACGGTCGATGTTACCAATATTCAGCTAAAATTTGGTGTGGTAGTACAGGGCTTAAAGCGCTCCGGCCTGGGGCTGGATTTCCGGCTTGAGAGCGAGACAGCCATCCGGTCCGCCTCAATTTAACTTCAGTTAATAAACAGGGATTGCGTCCAGTCACAGTGAAGCTTGCGTTGTTTTGACCAATAACTAACAGTGAAGCGGGTCGTAGAAAAGCAAGCAGGCGTGTGTATGCGGTCACATCTAATGTACTATGTAGAAGCTCTGTGTTGAGCAGAGAGCTGCCATGTAGAGCGCCCAGGGGAGCAGATTCTGGGGGTTAAGGGTCTTGCTCATGAGCCCAGGGTGGGGCAGGTGTGGGTGTTTCACCTTTCCCACCCACATTTTGATGTTGTCAGTTCAGGAGTTGAACTGGCAACCTTCCGATCACAGACCCATCTTTTTTAACCTCTGCGCCACCACTCCCCACAGTTAATAGTAAAGTGAAATACTTAAAACATAAGAAATAAAACAGAGTTCATTAATATGCTACCTATAATTTTTATTTGCCCTTCCACTTATTTCATCGTATCATTCAAAAAACTGCCTCTAATCATTTACCGGTAACCACCGGTAGCTTCCTCCACTGATAAAATGCCCAAAATCCTATATTTAACAAAAAACTATTTATTTGGAGCTCCAAGCTCGTAGAACAGAAGAAAAGCACATTTAAAGCAGATGATGTTCTCTCCCTTCTCATCATTTTCAGTTCAGTTCTTGTTTCATTCAGAACTCTCATACGTCCAAACTGAGTAAACAAACACATCTAAGCCCGATTTTTATTTTTTTACCTGGACACAGCTGGCAACACTGGAAACATTTCCTACCACGAACCAAACGTTTGTCACGGCAAGGGTCAGCCCACTTCAAACGAAATAAATCCGTTCATACATAGCGCATCACAGCACCGCTCCCTGTTTGTGGTGACAAGCTCGCGCTCTTCTTCTTCTGTTTTAAAGGCGGCGCGCCTGGCTCTTCTTCTTCTCTGTCTGTAATGTTAGCAGCTATGGTAATAGCTTTTGTTGCGCGCAACATACTCGCGCTTTCTACCCGGTAATAACAGTCTACACGCAACATTTTTTCCTCATTCATAAAATGCTAAAATCGGGGACATTTCCAGGGACAGCTTTAGCCGGGGACAGGTCGTCCAAAACGGGGACTGTCCCCAGAAATCAGGGACATCTGGTCCCCCTAAGCTACAATCTAGCATCACAGAACCAAAGCTATCTAGGTATCAATTCACAATTAGAATACAATGTGAAGCTTAATCAAGGTACATAACTTAAATAGAGATATCTTTTTTATTTATTCATTTATTTTTTACTGGACGGTGATGGTTGGGACTTTCTTGTGTTTCTGTCACTTTTCCAGTCAACACTTCGGACGTCCTGACCATCAAGAACGAGACGGAGAATCTTTTTGTTCTGGAGCATCTGTGGTCGTTGGGGTTACTTCACCACACTGTTTGGTTGGGGATGTACTTCGACACAGACAGTAAGGATCGCTCCCTGTATCCCATCAGATTAAGATAAATTCACCAAATTTAGCTGTTTAATCTGGTTCCAGCTGATTCCATGGCCTGGGTCGATGGTTCACCAATGGACTACACCAACTGGGCCAACGAAAAACCGGACACCAAACAACTGACCGCAGACGCTTGTGTTACTACCAGAGGGGACGATGATGTGTGGCACCTATCAACGTGCACGGAGCGGCTCGGCTTTATCTGCAAAATTCTCCCAGGTAGGTAAAAATAATAAGAAGACTCTTCTCAGCTCAAGTTACCAAAGTACACCAAGTCTAAAGCAAGACGTCTGTTTTACTTTATTTGCATTTTTGGCCGAATGAAGTCAAGTCAAAAGAGTGCTTGTGCCTTTTCAATGTTAAAGTGAATATAAAGTAACGTCTAGCTTTCAAATTAAAATACAAGACCACAAACGTGCAACCTGGCTGGGACTCTCATCCGTCCAAATTTGGGGACATAATGGACCCTTTTGGGACAGTATCCAGTGAGAGACAGCTGGAGGGAAGGACTTTCCTCACAATGTTCCAAGCATATCGGAGTAAATTCTTTATACGCGTTAGTGTTTTAAAAACTATTCTCATTCCACACATTTATACATGTATACTTTAAATAGTAGTTGTTCTGCAACGTTTGTTTTATCGTCGTTGACAGTTCAATAACGGGATAAAAACCTGTTGGGCCTTAGATTATTTGGTGTAAGTGAAGTAATAACGGCACACAAAGGATTTCCTGTGGTTGGGAAAGCAGCGTCTGCAGCTCCGGCACGAGCCTGTCTGGTGTAATTGTAGTTTAGATTTGATTTGTCTGAGACGTCCAGGGTTGTGTTTAGGCCGAGAACACAAAGGTGACGGTTCACAACCTTTTCGCTCTGGAACCTGTTTTTTATTAATACCATGTTAGGGACTCCTGGAACGCTGTTTCTGTGTGGAGGCGAGGAAGAGTTATTTAAAAAAAAAAACTGTTCCCGTGTGGACGGGGTTTAAACTTGTGTTTAATCCTGCTCTTATATCTGATACCGCTCTGGTGATGTCGTGTCTCCATTCTCAAGTCTCACCACAACTCACATCTACTTACCCTTGAGTGCACTGTTGCCAACTCCTCGGTCACTGTCGGCGATCCTAAAAGTCGCTAGATGACGTCATCACCTAATTGACATATTTGGTCATTCCAATATAATTGTGGCTGTAGGAAAAATGGCTCTACACGTCACAGAGACAAAAAGTGATTAAAAACTGTGTGTTTAAAATTTCAAATGAACTTTATGAATTAGTTTCATGATTGTAATGCTTTGCACAGACCCACGTTCCATAAACTAATTTTGTCACATGTTTTTTATTGTTAGAATGTTATTTTAACATTTAAATTTATTTTCAGAGACTGCAGATGGAAATTAGCTAGAAAGATATAATCTGGTACATTGCATCTTTACTATATTAGCGTTTAATATCGTCTATATATGGTCCCTAACAAACAAACAAACAAAAACACGGTTATGTGGGCTGGAATTACAGCTTTCCAATAAAACTTCCTTCTTTATCTGGGCTTGAGACTGACAAGTGACATTCTGGAAGAGTTACTTGGTTTTATTGATTTTGTTAGTTTTAGGTTGTTTGTTTTTTTATTATTTTTTGGAGCCTACAACAAATCACAGTAAAATATGAACCTTTTACGCCATAACATTTTTAACAATCTTTGTAAAGATGGTTGTATCGTGACAACTTTGACAATCTAAATGGATAAAAGAGAAGAAGAAAAAACCTAATATTGGCGATGTGAGATGAACGTTTTCATTGGGCATGCGTGATTCATCTGCAGTAAACGTGCGGTGGATCTCTAGGAGGTCACAGTGACCATCTGTCAGTCTGGGATGGGGGCGGGGCTTACAATAGCTCATTCTGCTTACAGTGACTGCAGAATGATTAGTGCCTTCATGTGCAGACTCCAAAAGTCTCCAAACACCAGGAAATGTAGCCAGATTTCTCACAAGTCACTTTAAAAAGAAAAAAAGTCACTAGAAGTGTCTGAAAACTTGTTATATATAGTGACAATTTGCTAAGTTGGCAACACTATGTTGAGTTCAGTCTTGATGTGGGCGGCCCCTCAATATAGGCACATCTAAGATGTGGGCGGACCCTCAATGTGGGCAGCTCTTAACTGTGGGCGGGTCCTTGATATGGGCGGATCCTATATGTGGGTGAACCCTCAATATAGGCGGATCTTAGATGTGTGAGGACCCCCAATGTGGGCGGGTCCTTGATATGGGCGGATCCTCGATGTAGGCAGATCATCATAATGCCACTGCTCAGATTTTCTGCTCTTTTTTTTTATACCCAAAGCAAACAACTCGGCCACAGTGGTAAATTTTTGTTAATTTTATGTTTATTTTTTTACAATTCTTATTTCCTCAGAATTACGACTTTTTGGGGGAAATTCCTAGAATTTTAGGGAAGAGGGTTGTGGCCACAATGTAATTTATTATTATTATTATTATTATTATTATTATTATTTATTTATTTGTAATTCTGACTTTTTTTTTTCTCAGAATCCTGACTTTAATGTCAGAATTCTGAGAGAATAAAACAAACTTTGTTTTTTTCTTTTACTGTGACTCTTATCGTCTTCCTTAACACACCAATGGGCACATGCGTAACTACAAACACACACGGTCACAGTTGGAGCCCCTAAATCCTTCAAATTTGAAATCTGTCATCAGCGACCAAACACAGAAACATTTGACCTCCTCTTAGCACCACAGTGTTGGTTTACATGTTGCCATTTTAATGGATAAATTATATATTTTTAAAAAGTAAACAACAAAAACAACCACTGCGGTTGGAGGTTTTAAAAGATGGTGAGTTTGATTCTTGTGAAGGAGAAGCTCTTATGATTGATAGCTGAGTGGATCCAAAGAACCAAGCTGAAAGTGAGGGGGGAAAAACTGGACCTTCACCGGGTCGGGCCGAGTCAGGCCGAGTCGAGCCCACAGGGCCACATGAGACCATGTGCGTAACAAACAGCAGTTGACTTTTGGATTGTGTGAGAAACATCTAAGTGTAGGAAGTCCCTGATTAATGTCCGTGTTTAAAAAAAAAAATCTTAAAACAAAGTTACAATATTTAAGCTCCGTCTTTGTCTCGTCTCGCTTGTCTCCAGAAGACATTTGTCTCGTCCATGTGGACAGCTCAGGTTTTGTTTGAAGGTTTTAGTGATTTTTTTCTTGGTCTTCTTTTGCAAAGCCATAAAAAAATGTCCGAAAACTCCAGAAGTGAAACGTCGTCTGTCTCAGGTTGCTCAGACGTTTTTGTTCTCGTTTTTACTGATAGGAATGAAAATGAAGTAGTCTGTATAAAAATAACCATTTATTCATTGCAGCAGGGTCCATTTCCCCTTGAGGAGGTGGTACTTTTTGTGTTAGACTACAGATGATTCAAAGAAAAAAACACAGAAAACGAGTGTTTTAACGGCGAATTGTAAACGGCAAAACTCCAAAAATATATTCGAAGCATCACCTTCACAGCTCAGTAAATGTATTCTGGCAGCCGGCGCCGTGAGGCCTCAGAGAAATGTTGATAAAATGTTTTCTTCTTGTAATTTTTGTTGCTGCTGTTTTGAACAAGGTCACATTTTTGTGAGAATTAAAACGAAACATGAGAACTTCTGTTCTTCTGTTTCAGATGTAATCACTGAGGTGGATGTGGAGCCGCTAAACGGTAAAGATCTCTGAACTCACAGTGGGAGGACGTGTCCACATGTCCCATACGAGGATGTGTCCACGTGTCTCACATGAGGACAGGACGCTTCACTTTATGGGGAATAATGTGGATTAAACGCTAAATGAATACATACCACCCCCCGAGTTCAAGTGACAAGTTTTTGTGATGAAAATAATGAAACCATTTTCAATCTTTCAAAACTTTTTCCGCTTTCACTTTTATATTTTTTGTGAATTCAACAGAAAGAAATCTGTTCAAGAAAAGAAACATTAAAAATAAAATCACATTTTAGGGGAAAACACTGAGTGCTGAATAGCTTTACTGATGCGTGCTGAGTTTTTAGTTAAAACAAGAAAAACAAACTAAAAGCAGCAAAACGGGGAGCTAAAGCCTAAATGTCGCAAAGGATTAGCTAAAATGAAAAGCAGCAAAGGGTTGTTTAAAGGCAAAAATAGCCAAAGACTAGCTAAAAGTAGCAAAATGCTAAAAGCTAATTCATCAGAAGAATAGCTAAACACTAAAAGTAGCAGAGTAGTAGCTAAAAGCTAAAAATAGCAGAGTAGTAGCTAGAAGCTAAAAGTAGCAGTACAGTAGTCCCTCGTTTATCGCGGGGCATCCCTACCCTGAAGCCCTGCAATAAGTGAAAAACCACGAAGTAGGAATAGTAGTATATGTAGTACATAGTAGTTAAATTTATTATATATATATATATATATATATATATATAGATATAGATATAGATAGATATATAGATATAGATAGATATAGATGGATATATAGATATAGATGGATATATATATATATATAATATAGATGGATGGATGATAGATATAAAGTTGTTTTAATCCCTTCCCACACTCTTGCAATATTCTAAACAATGTTCTAAACTAAATGCTCTAAAAAAGGACAGCATGTCATGATCTCCGCTCTCAGCCACCTGCCAGGGCTCTTGGCCACGCCCACTTCGATGCTGCAGAGTGGAGATCAGCTGATCAGCTGCAAGAGAGCACTTCTCCCCAGCTGTGGGCTGCACACAGACCTGTGCAGCAGGTGCTAAATAATTTAAAATTATTTTAAATAAAAAATCCATGACGATCGTGCAGCTCATCCATCAATCAGCCAATTGTGTGTCATGTCCAATCTTACTTTGAAAATACGCGATAGAGCGAATACGTGAAAAACAAACTGAAGTAGCGAGGGACTACTGTATTGTAGCTAGAAGCTAAAAGTAGTGGAACATTAAATAAAAGCTGAAAGTAGTACACGAGTAGGTAAGAGCTGCAATTACTAAAATGCTAGTTTAAGCAGCAATATTCTAGCTAGAAGTAACAAAAAGCTAGTTAAAAGTACAAAGTAGCAAAAAACTGGCTAAAATGGCAAAAGTCAAGCTAAAAACCATTATTAGCAGAACAGTAAAAGCAAAAAGTAGTGGAAAGGTAAGTAAAAGCTAAAAATAGCAAAAGGCTAGCTAAAAACTAGTACAATGCTAGCTAGTAGCAGGACATTAGCTAAAAGCTAGAAGTAGTGGAAAGAAGGTAAAAAGTCAAAGCAGCATCAGAGGAAATTTTTTTCTGAAGCAGGTTTCAAAAAGAACAATGGTGAGTTTCGGGGTGGGGGGGTCTGGGTTTGTGTCCTGGACCCAATGTCTCCTCGACTCGACTGCAGTGAAGCTGTGGAAGATGGAGATGTTGAACAGGAATACAGTAAATTTATTATGGCTTCGTTCATTTCACGCCACATAAACTGGTCTTTTCCAGCGGTGGAGACTTGATCTGTATTTTATACGTCTGCTGTAATAACGTCGTCTCACGGCTGAAAACCTCTCGTCTGTTCCAGGTTCTCATCGCAGCATCGTTCCTGCTGCCGCGGTGGTGGCCGTCATAATCTTTGCCCTGCTGGCAGTGGCGGTCTGGTTTCTGTTCAGGAGGAACTCGGCTCATTTCCGGGGCCTCCCTACGCCCGGGGGTGCTTATTACAGACAAACGGACTCTCAGGGTACAGAGTCGGATGGGAACGTGCTGATCACAGACCTGGAGGCTCACTCAGGAGAATAACACCAAAGGCTTTTTTACTGTTCACGTCTGATTCTCTGAATGTGTCTTGGTTTCACCATCAGGTACAAATGCGTGGGGGCGCCAGCTGCTTAGGATGGTGCTGAGGTCATCACAGGCAACATGAACTGTAGTTTTGATTTATTCAAAACGCTCTAATGCGATAAAAGCTGCTGCCTCTGAAACAAATAAAAATAAAAAGGTCACTTAAATAAAATTGAAGAACTAACGAGCTTTACATCTAAAAGCATAAAGTTTAATGATGCAGAATAATTTTGAGTTCAAAGACATTTTCAGGTTTGAACAAAGTAAAAAATCTTGATTTTTTTTCCTCATCAAAGTCTAAATATGTTTTATTTCGATAACAGAAAATGTTTTTTTTGTAAATTCAATTCTGTTCAGGAGCTGCTGGGTCTGTACGTCTGCTACAGGAACCTTTTCAGTATTTTGTATTTTGTTGCGTTTACATGCTGTACATTGGTGCGTATGTTGTACAGTTTGCATTTTAATAAATAAAACAGGTGATTTGTTGTTGTTTTTGAATATTTGAGTCTTTAGACATGATGGTGTTGGGGTCAAAGGTCAGAGTCACAGATAATGACTGTGTCCAAGGTGTAAATAGACAAACGGGTCAATTAAAGAACATGTACCTGTAGCTCTCGGGTGAAAAACTCACCTGTTGACAACTACCTGCCGATTCAAACCATTTGATGATCAGAGAAGTGGACTTCACCAGAACCACTCAAGGTTTGTTTGGAAGTTGTTTAAATAAAAACAAAATCCAACATGGAGCCATAGTCTGTGGATGTTTTCTGTCCTAAACATTTGTAGGGTTACTTATGAGTGGACAGATGGGGACAAAGCTAGCTGGAATAGGGACAAGGTTTAACTATGGGATCACCTGTGACCTTGACCTTTGACCCCATGACCTTGGAATCAACTAGGATCATGTTTGACCTATGAGTTGTGCAGTTTGGCATTTTTATGTTGAAGTGTTTCTAATTTGGAGCAGGAAACTGTCCACAGACGGATAGTGCCATCCCATAATACATCCCATATTAGGACAATTGATAGAAACAAAGCAACTTGACTTGTGTTTTGAAGCTGAAGACATTTTCTATCCGTGTAGCTTTTTCAGTTCAGAACTGGATAGTGAGGAGTTCCAAGCTTTACACTGCAGGAGATGCTCCATTTATGCAAATGATTATGACTCACCTGCCTCCTGAGGGTAATTAGGGTCTTTGCCTTCCTCCTGATGGTCATCAGAGTCTTTGTTTCTCCACCTTCCTGAGGGTCATGAGAGTATTTGCCTTCCTTCCCTCTCCTGAAAGTCATCAGGGTGTTTGTCTCCTTTCCATCTCCTGAGGTCTCCCTCCCCTCTCTCCTATGGGTCATCAGGGTTTTTGCCTCCTCCCCTCCCTCCTGAAGGTCATCAGAGTCTTTGTCGCCCTACCTTCCTGAGGGTCACCATGGTCTTTGCCTCCCTTCACTCTCTTCTGAGGGTCATCAAGGTATTTGCCTTCCTTCCATCTCTTCTGAAGGCCATCAGGGTGTTTGTCTCCTTTACATCTCATGAGGTCTCCCTCCAGTGGGTCATTAGGGGTTTTGACTCCTCCCCTCCCTCCTGAAGGTCATCAGAGTCTTTCTCTCCCTACCTTCCTGTTGGTCATCAGGGTCTTTGTCTCTTCTCGTGTTCCTCCTGATATCTCCCCTCCCTCCTGAAGGTCATCAGAGTCTTTGTCTCCCTACCTTCCTGAGGGTCACCATGGTCTTTGCCTCCCTTCACTCTCTTCTGAGGGTCATCAAGGTATTTGCCTTCCTTCCATCTCTTCTGAAGGCCATCAGGGTGTTTGTCTCCTTTCTGTCTCCTGAGGTCTCCCCCCCCCCCCCCCCTCCCTCCCAGTGGGTCATTGGGGGTTTTGACTCCTCCCCTCCCTCCTGAAGGTCATCAGAGTCTTTGTCTCCCTACCTTCCTGAGGGTCATAAGGGTCTTTGTCTCCCTCGTGTTCCTCCTGAAATCTCCCCTCCTTCCTGAGGGTCATCAGGGTCTTTGTTCGCCCAGCTCAGTGGGAGATGTTTTGGTCATACATGAAGGTGTGAATTAGCGGTTCAGTGAGTGAGTATCCGCTTCATCGGCACGAATGGCGCAAACTTCAGACTCGTTTTGAATTTCAGAAAGCTCCCTGGATGGGGAGTGAAGCATCTTTAGCTACACAACATGAGTCAAATTGCTTTGATTTTAAACCTTTAGGATTTAGTGTGCCTTTGTCATAGAGTACAACATTTTTTCAATTGTTTATTTCAAAATGTTTTAAGTATTTTATGAACAGCAAATGTTCCCATTGCAGCCATAGTTTATTTTTTTATTTACTGAAAAAGTCAGAGAATAAATGTATGAGTGTAATAATAAATGTATAACTTTGAATTAACATTTTACTAAACATCTAATGTTTAAAACGATAGTTTTTATGGACATCTCTGTGTGTGTGTGTGTGTGTGTCATTTAAAACGATAAATTCTGTTTATTCTGATGAAATATGGAGCTCATAATAACTTTTAATTTCCATGTTAAAACATTGTTTGTTTTGGCTTTATGCAACAATGTGCTAATGTATTATTGTCTTACTGTAAAACACACCCGGCGCCATTAAATAATCTGTTTACAGCAGAGTTCAGCTCCGTCTGACATCATGATGTTGAATAATCCATTGAGTAATATCAGTTACTGATATTACTCAATATCAATATGACAGTTACTGCGCCTGCGCGATGAAACAGAAACGGTGTGTTTTAAAATGTTTTATGGGCCTTTATGTGACTTTAATGAACAACTCAAAGTGCGTATTTGTTGTTTTTAAGCTCTAGGCGCGATGGGCGTGGAGGGGAAAGAAAACGGAGCCATAAAGAAAGATGGAGGCACAAACCGGAAAAGATAGATGGGATCTTCAAAATAAAACTTTTCAAACGCACAGGTTCGCGCATGCGCATTTATTTTTATACGCGTTTTTAGATTTAAAACGAGTTTTATACAATCATTTATGAGAGTTTTGGAAAAGATAGCTGCTAAAAACTAACTGAAATAAAACAAATGTGAAAAACATTTGATAAACAAACGTTTACACGTCACAAACAAAAAAGTTCATAACTAAAAAACGATTTCGATATACGTGCATATATATTTTTTAGTTAAATTATTTATTAATTTAGCTTGTTTCTTCCTTATAGTCCTTCTTTAAAAAGTAGTTTAACTTGTTCCATACATGTTTTGTGCTTAGCTAATGTTTCTGTGTAGCTTTGGTCAGCAGCCATCTTAAATCTTGTCTTGCCTGGTGTTCTTCTTCCTAATCCTAGTTATTTGTTTATTTATTTATTTATTTCACTATAGTTTTAAAAATTTATAATTTTATGTTATTTCGTAAACCGGAAGTTAGCACTAGCTCACTCCCCGCTGCTGCTAGCTTCACGGTTCGCTCCGCGCAGGACTCCGGGCTGGACAGCTGTCAAGTTGAGCCCGTTCTGGGTTGGCGTTGCGATCACTTTCTGTTTGTAGTTCGGTTGTTACTGGGCCCGTGTTCAAGTCCTCCACGCTTCGGAACCGAGACAGGTCCTGTATGAAGCCACCACAAAGTTCTCCGCGACCATGAAGTTATCCGCAGCGACGCTGAGCCTTTGTTTATGGACGCTGCTGGAGACCAACGTTTACCTGACAGGAACTTGTTCGCCGGCTGGGAAAGGTTCAGGTAAGACGACCCGCGACGCCTCGCTTTCATTTTTGACTCAAACTCTGCTCAGGTCGGATTTTCAACTGTACTTTTCCCAGAGGAGCGTGATGTGAAACAAACGGGCAGCGGGAGGTAGAACCTGCCTGAACGAGCAGGTTCTTAAAAACAGGTTTCATAGTTGGACATGAGTCCAGTCCTGCATTCGTCTTTGGACATCTTTCCGTTTCTGTTTTTTGAAATATTTTTCGAGCTAAATATTCTAGTTAAGAAACCTGATTGTTGCTGCAGCTGCTCTACAAGCTGAAGATCACCTGAAATACACCAAGAACTGAATGTAGAAGTTGAAAGGAGGACACAAACATGACATTATTAAAAAAGTAGCTGAAACTAGATGGAGGTTTTTTTTTTTTTATTGGCAGTATGAAGCTAGAAGTTGAAAAGTGCTGAAAGGATCGTAAAAAAGCCTAAAGGAACATACACACAAAAAAAGCTAAAACTATTGCTTAACAAAGCACAAAACAGCTATAGCAGAAAATCAGCTGAAAGTAGCTGAGAAAAGCACATTAAGAGGCTAAATGAGCAGAAGTTCAACAGGCAGAAAGATGCTGAAGAGTACATAAAACTTAAATTAGCTGAAAAGTAACAAAAAAGGTTAAATGAGCAGAAAAGGCTGACATTCAGCAGAGAAAGCAGACAGCTAAAATTAGCATTAAAAGCTGAAAGAAGCACAAGGTTCTTTACTGTCATTTGCATCACATGTGGTACATGAGGTGGAAAGAAATTGAGCTCAAGGTCCCAGTTACACCCAAAATAGCAAAAGTATAAAAAGAAACAGTGTACAAGGATCTAAGATATACACTAAAAATATAAAATAATATGTTACTGTATATTAAACAGCAGCCTGAACATGAGTCTGTTGTGAGCAGATGGGTATGAATACAGCAGCTTAAAGGCAAGAAATCAGCAGCATGGATAATCACCAGCACAGATAAAATGACATATCACCAATTAATATGTCATTACAGTGATTTTTTTCTGATAAGGGATGAGTCTAACAGCTTCAGGGTAGAAGCTGTTCCTCAGTCTAATGTTTCTACACTTAATGCGCCTCAACCTCCTGCCTGAGGGGAGCGGGGTAAAAAGTGAGTGTGCTGGGTGAGTGGGGTCCTTCATGATGCAGGTGGCCCTCTGCAAAAAATGAAATGAGGAAAAAAGAAGCTAAAAGGAGCAAGAAAAGGCTAACAAGTAGAAAATAGGCTGAAATGAGCCAAAAGAGGCTTAAAGAAGCTGAAGGAAACTGAAATGAGCAGAAAGAAGCTGATATTCTTTCAACCTGTATTTATGAACGATGGCGACGATAGACAACAATAACAACAGTAGACAATCATAAAAGAAAGCATATAATTTGAAAAAATAAATAAATGGAAGAAAATGATATATAAACAATGAAAAGAAACCGCTACATTATAAAGCGATGTAAAATACTAAAAACAGGAACATGTCTGGTTTTTGTCATGAACTTAACAGTTGTTTAAAGCCACTAAGAGAGATCAAGGTCGAGAGATTCAGATCTTTTTGTAAGATATTCCAGGAAACAGGAGCGGAGTAGGAGAAGGTCCTTTTGCCTAGTTCAGTCCTCACTGAGGGAACACTGCAGGGAATAATGTCCTGAGAGCGCACGCTGTAGCTGCACTCATGCAGAGACATGTAGGAGGAGATGTATGAAGACAGCAGACCAAGTGATTTAAAGATGAAAATGCACCAGTGGGAGAGTCTGCGTGAAGTTACTGATGTCCAGTTAACCAGTGAATACAGGGTGCAGTGGTGGGTACGATAATCACAGCCAGTTATGAATCTTAGTGCACCATGATAGACAGCATCCAACATCTGCAGGGTTCTTGTAGGAGCGTTCATGTGAATAATGTCACTGTAGTGAATGGAGAGAAGGAAAGTCACAGTTACAAGGCGTTTCCTAGCATTCAAAGTTAGACAGAATCTATTTCTGAAAAAGAAACCCAGTTTTACTTTCAGTTTATTTACCATGTTTTTGATGTGGAGCTTAAAAGAGAGATGCGAATCGACCGAGATGCCCAAATATTTTTAAGAAAGGACAAATTCAATAGGGACACCATTCAAAGATAAAATTGGGCGAAGGACTGCTGGGACCAACTTCCTGATTGAAAACAACATCCCTTTGGTTTTGTCGGAGTTAGTACAAGTTTGAGATGGAACAAATCAGACTGGATGATGTCAAAATCAGACTACAAAAGTTGAAAAACTTTAGCAACTGTTTTAGCTCGACGGTAAACAACTGTGTCATCAGCATAGAAATGTAAGGATGCATCAGGAATGACCTGACCTACATTACCTATGTAGATTGTGAAGAGGGTGGGACCTAATACTGAGCCTTGTGGTACACCATTGTTAACTGTTAAATAACTGGAAGAAGTACCATCATGTTGAACACATTTCGATCTGAGAGATAATTAGAGAACCAACCGATGGTGTGATCTGAGAAACCAATTTCTGAGAGCTTATTAAGATGTCATAGTCCACAGTGTCAAAAACTGATATGAAAAATATATGAACAGAAAGAGGCTCAAAGGAGCTGAATGAAGCCGAAATGAGCAGAAAGAGGTTAAAAGGAGCTGAAACAAGCTGAAATGAGCAGAAAGAGGGTAAAGGGAGCTGAAACAAGCTGAAATGAGCAGAAAGAGGCGAAAGGAGCTGAAGAAAGCTCAAATGAGCAGAAGGAGCTTAAAAGGAGCTGAAGAAAGCTGAAATGAGCAGCGAGAGGCTAAAAGGAGCTGAAGGAAGCTGAAATGAACATTAAAAGTTGTAAACCGCTAAAGGTTGTGAAGGATGTGAAGAGAACTCCATTTTTAATGAGAAAACACGGCAGACAAAGCTAAATACTGCACAAATAGCAGACGTCCCAACACGAATGTCCTAAACGAGCCGAAGGTTTTGCTTTATAAATTGTTAAAAAATATGCAAAAGAAAACTGGATCTGAATAACGAGAGTGCTTCAGAAACATTCAGACCAAAGCTGACTTCATATTTAGCTGAAATCACCCGAATCTGTGAGGAAATGTTTCTACTTTCTTTATTCCCAGCATGTGAGAAGAGTGAATCTTTTTACTGTATATGGAATGAAGTTGAGGGTGAACTCTGGCAGACGGAGGGTTATCAGGACAAGGTTTGTCATTTTTCAGCTCCGGAGCCGTCGATTGATTTATTTTGGCTGTTGTTTGATCAGAGCTGACATTTCTCCTGACCAGGTCGCAGCTTTTCATCGTTTGCCTTTTTGTCGGGCACTCTTGTGTAATTCTCGTGCTTTGAAGCCGTTATTGGAACGTTGTTGCCAAACCACGTTTCTGGGGGGGGGGGGGGGGGGGGGGTCATCTTGTCCTGTAATGTTTTGCTAAACATTGTGTCCCATATTATCATACTTCCACCTCCGTGGATCACTCTGCAGAGATCTTGGCTAAGTTCATGCCTGACTTTAATCAGATCGATCTTGATCCTTTGCAGCTTTCTTCAGCAGTTTCGTGGTGAAGCTTGATGTTTTTCTTGAGCTACAGTTGATGTTTTTTCATAACCTTTTTGTTTTTCTCGTTGAGGAGTTTCTGTTTTCCGTCGTGTCCACAGCTCGTTCCTGTTTGTTTATCAGAACAGGAATCAGACGGGGGGGGGGGGGGGGGGGGGGGGTGGGGGGGTGTCGTTTGATGCTGCAGCTGCGTTTCGGGTTTTTTTTTGTTGTTGTTGTTGCCCACAGATGTTCATGTCTTTTTTTAAATCTTTACAAAGTCTACTAGATTTTTTGATCCTCTCCAGCTTACATCGAAAGTCTACCAGACAGCGTTTCCCCTACCATTATACAAGTGGGGCGCCCTGCCTCGTTAACAGAACCAAGCGCCCTGCCTACCGAACTGCCCCCACCCACCCCAGTTGGTAATGATGTAGCGCTAAATTAACGGCATGCAATACAGGTATGCTAGCTAAAAAGGTAAATGCTGTGCTCACGCCGCCTGAACCCTCACGCTGACACACACCCCTGCGCGCGCACGCTCGAAAACTGTCGGTACAAACAGCGCAAAGAGACGTATCTCTCTTCCCCGACAATTGACAAAAATCACGGACAAGATGAGCGCCCCACCATGGCATGTTATCTAGGGGAAACGTGGCCAGACCATCTCCTAATAACTTCCAAGTTCCTTTGACCACAGTGGACAAGACTGTTAAAAAGTAGAAAGCTCATGGGACTGTAGACAACCTTCCATGACGTGGACGCAAGAGGAAATGCGACCCCAGGTTGATTAGACATGGACAGTAATTTAAAAAAAGGATGGAGGAAACCATCCATAACCATTCAAGCTGAACTCCAAAGTAAAGGGTCGTCTCTTTCTGACCACATTTTGAATCAGATAGAAAAAAGACCCAGGAGGCGCCACTGTTGTCAAAAACAGACAGGAAATCACCAAAATGCAGGTTGACAAGAACCAAAGGTCCTGACTGACAAGAGAACACCGGAGCTTTCTGGATCCAGTCACATCGGCTGGGTTTCTTTGATTACCATTGAAGGAAATCAACAAACGTAGCCTCGTTTGTTTGTCCTCACTCAAACATGTCAACGTTTATTTATTTCTGTAGCACATTATAAAAAACAATCCACATTGACCAAAGAGCTGTACAAATATATACAGGTGAACCAAAATACAGTAAAGTCCACATAAAACAAAAATAATTTTAGATTAATGAAATGATAAAACAGGTAAAAGGTAATGGACTGATGAAAATAAACTTGCACAGTAAAATGAATAAAAACCGTAAAAACTTTAATTTCTTTGTCTCAACTAGAACTAAAATAAAAATACAAAAGTTTTCAACAGTTTTAAAGTCGTAGATGGTCTGAGCAAAACCAGCTGAAAGGATGCAGACCAACTTCTTTATTCTGTTTAGTTTGATTTTAGCCTCACATTTTGAATTGAATTTTTTGTTTTTAGAAAGATCAAACATCCATCCTCAGGAAGAGGAAGGGTGAGTTCAGATGTCGGATTAGTTTTGGATCAAGGTTCAAGGACACTTTATTGTCATTTGCATCACACGTGGTACATGAGGTAGAAGAGTATTGTGTACTCAAGGTACAGTTACACCCAAAAATAGCAAAAATATAAACTATACAAAAAGAAACGGTATACAAAGATCTAAAATATACGCAAAACACTAATAAAATAATATGGTGTATTAAACAGCAGCCTGAACATGAATCTGTTGTGAGCAGATGGGTATGAATAGCAGCTTAAAGGCAAGAAATCAGCAGCACAGATAAAGTGACAAATCACCAATTAAAGTGGGATTACAGTGATTATCCTGATAAGGGATTCATGAGTCTAACAGCTTCAGGGTAGAAGCTGTTCCTCGGTCTAGTGGTTCTACACTTAATGCTCCTCAACCTCCTGCCTGAGGGGAGCGGGGCAAAAAGTGTGTGTGCTGGGTGAGTGGGGTCCTTCATGATGCAGGTGGCCCTCTTCCTGCATCTGGAGGTGTAGATGTCTGTGATGGTGGGGAGGCTGACTCCAACAGTCTTCTGTGCAGCCTTCACTACTCTCTGCAAAGCTTTTCTCTCTCCAGCTGTGCAGCCTCCACGTTGATGCTGGAGCACAGGTTACTGCACACCTGAGCTTCCCAGACCAGCTAATCTCAGCCGCCTGAGGAAGTAGAGTCTCTGATGAGCTTTCTTGATCAGGCTGGTGGTGTTGTTGCCCCAGCTGAGGTTGTTGTTCAGGTGTGCACCCAAGTACTTGTAGCTGGAGACCACTTCCACCACAGATCCTTCTATGTTCAGGAGGAGTTAGTTGTGTTTGCTCTTTAAGAAATCCAGGACACAGTTGTATAGGGAGGGGCTTAGTCCTAGTGTGAATAATTTGTTCAGCAGGGTCTGGGGAATCATGGTGTTGAAGGTGGGTGTGAAGTCCACAAAGAGCATACGGATGTAGGAGTCCTTCTGCTCCTGGTGGGTGAGAGCAGTGTGGACCACAGAGGAGATGGCGTCCTCTGCTGATCGATTCTTACAGTATGTATACTGGTGTGGGTCCTCGCTGATGCCGATGGTTGCTTTGATGTGGGTCGTGACCAGTCTTTTAAAGCATTTTGCTGTTAAGTTCTGTTCGGCTATAATTCACATGCTTAAAGTGAGCGAAGTCGGGCTTGGAGCCGATGTCACAGAACAAAATGTTTCCAGGAAATGTTGGAGTAAAATAAAAACTTTTTCGTTTGTTTCAATAATTTCAGGAGAAGACTCTTTCACCATTCAACACTCGAGTTCATTAAAGTGTCTGGATGTGAACGACCCGGCGAACTTCAGCCTGGCCACCTGTGACCCAAGCAGCACCGCCCAGCTGTGGAAGTGGGGCTCGGGTCACCGGCTCTTCCACGTGGCGTCGTCTCTCTGCTTGGCGCTGGATGTCCAGTTGAAGAAGCTGTCTCTGGTGGACTGCGGCTCCGGTGATTTGCTGGCGTGGCACTGCCAGGACGGAGCCGTGTACACCGTCTACGACATGGGTCTGACGGTCAGCGAGGGGAAACCGGGCGTCAGACGAGACGTCAGTGAGAACTGGTCCAGAGGAGGATCCCAGGAGAACATCTGCCACAGAACGTATCGAGGTGAGAAACAGAACGCTGACGGTTACAAAGAACATTATTAGATTTAGTTGTAATGGATCACAAATTAGATTTGGTGAAAGCTTTCCTTCACTTCTGTGAAACTGAAGATCCCTGAATGGATCAGGAGGGAAAGAAAGTCCACCCTGCTTCAGTTCTGGGGTTTCAGAACTTCATGAACCTGATCCGGTCTTCATCGGATTCTAAACTGATCCAGATCTGACCTCAGGGAACAGAAACACTCAGTAAGTTCTGAGATGTAATTTATTAAAAAGAACCTGGTCCCAGGTCCAGATCCAGCATCTTTTAGAACCTCCTTGAGCAGCAGAACCCTCCATGGTTTTCTGGTCATCTCTAATGGTTCTGGAGGAGTTCTGGCCCACTCTTCTTTCCAGCACTGAGGGTTCTGCTCAGCTCTCTGAAAGTCCACCACAGCGTGTCAGGTTGAGGTTCTGGACTCTGACTGGACCGTTGTAACACCTTGGTTCTGTTCTTTCTGACCCGTTCTGTTGTAACTCAGCTGCTGTGTTTGAGATCTTGGTTCTGTTGGACCCAGTTGGCTTCAGCTGTTGGACAGATGGACTCGTCTGACTCCAGAACCCTTTGGTCTCCAGAGAAGTTCTAGAGTCAGTTGTGAGTCCATCTGTCCAACAGCTGTTTCTGTAGGCAGGGCGCTCGGTTCTGTTGACAGGGCGGGGCGCCCTGCTTGTATAATGCAGGGGAAACACTGGAGTCACTGCATGGTCTGACCTTGGGGGTGAATCTGCTGTGAAGACTGTCTGAAATGTTTTTCTCTTGTGAATAATCTTTTTCTGTGTAGAACGATGGACTCCAGATGGTTTGGGAATGACCTTTGACCCTTCACAGATTCATGGACAGCAACAGCTGAGGTCACTGCTGATGTCTTTCCATCTTGGCGTTCAGTTGACGCACATGTGGATGCTTCAGAGCAGGAAAAAAAAACCTAGATTATGATCAGTTAATCAATGCAGTTGATAGTTTCTGTTTAATAAATATCCACTCAGCGGAATCTGTTGTGTGTTTTGGGTCAAGTGAGGTCAGACTTAAATCTTTTCAGAACCTGATGAAGACCGGATCAGTTCCATTCTGCTTTTAGAACCGACAGATTGTGGACTTTCTTCATTCCGTCTCTGTTTGAAACATGTTTCTAGTTGTTGTTTTGGCTGTAGAGCATTTTAAACCAAACTTGACTGGTTTGTTGCCTTCATACCTGTCAATCAACTGCTTTTTCCTGCACCGCGACTCGTCCTGTCAAATTCCAGCTGAGCGAGTCGGACGACCTCCCAGAGACGAGTGTCTGTTCAAATGTAAAACCAAGTTCAGCTGTTTTAGTTTAGCTGCTCCTTGCATCACAGAGTCAACACATTTATTTTGACACTCAAAATCAGAAACACGTTTATTTTTAAGATTAAACAACGATTTTAACCAGAGAAATCACTGCGGAAGAAGCTGAAACTGAGTTGGTATTGCTAAAAAAAAAAAGCAGTATACTGCCTAAAAGTAACTATTGCTAGCTAAAAGCTAAATGTATGAATAGGCTAGCTAAGAGTAGCAATATAGCTGTCTTAAAGCTAACAACAATTAAAAGCTAAACACAGCAAGTTAAAAGTAACAGAAAGCTAGCTAGAAGCTAAAATATATGGATAGCTTACAGCTAAATATGTTAAATGAGTAGCTAAAGTATCAAATAGGGAGCTACAAGCCAAAAATTGTAAAAGTTTGGTTAAAAGCTAATGGTTGCAAAATGCTAGCTAAGAGCTAAATGTAGGAAAGCAAGAAAAAAGTAAAAGTACACCTAAAACAACAGAAGTTTAGTTAAAAGCTCAAAGCTAACTAAAAGCTAAAATTATCAGCTAACTAGCTTCTAGCTAAATGTATAAAGTATCTAGCTCAAGGTTGAAAAGGTAAACTAAAAGTAGCTAAATCTGTTTAGTTTTTGGTTTTAGATTTTGCTACTTTTAGCTTTTAGGCAATTTTTTAAAATTATTTTAGCTTCTAGCTTTCATTTTGATATTTTAGCTTACCATTCGTTACATGCTTAAAGTATTAAAAAGCTAGTTGTAGGTAAAAAGCCAGCCGAAAGTAACAAAAAGCTAGCTAAATGCTAATTCAATAAATGGCTAACTAAAAGCTAGAAGTATCTGATGGGTAGCTTATAAGCTAAAATAGATCAAGGGTTAGCCAAAGTTGCAAAAAGTGAGGATGTCGAAGAAAAAAAAGTTTTTGATGGATGTGAAGAATCTTAACTGAATCCAAGGCTCCAGATAAACACTCATCAGCCATAACATTATGACCACAGAACGGCGCTCACCGCTGCGTTTCGCTCCCCGTCCTTGACATAAATAACGTGGGCTCTTTGTTTCGGTGCAGTTCTTCACTCCTTCAACGGGAACTCGGCAGGCGCTCCGTGCGTGTTCCCCTTCAAGTTCAACGGCAGCTGGTACCACGAGTGCCTTCCTGACCCAGATGCTCCAAAACTGACCTGGTGTTCTACGTCTCTGGACTATGACCAGGAGAGGAAATGGGGGAACTGTCTAATACCTGGTACGTTGTTTAACACAGGAAAGGTTCCTTTTTATTTATGTTAACATTCAGCAGGACAGGATCTTTGTGTGCTTTCAAAGACACAAGTCACGATTTGACCTAAACTTTTAACCGCATTGTCTCTGGGACTTTACAGAAAATGGCTGCCACACCCTGTTTTCTGGCCCAGAAGGAGACTCCTGCTACGAGTTCGTCTCCGGCAGCACCGTGACCTGGCATGAAGCTTTGGACTCGTGTCGCAGTCAGGGAGCGGATCTGCTCAGTCTGTCAGAGTCCGACGACCTCGAGTCCAAGACCCGTAAGTCCTGAGTACCAGAACCCTCACACCCTCACTTTCACCTTTTTCTGATTTATGATTTTAAACTCAAAATTATGAACTTCAAACAACAAAATTCAATTCAGTTTATTTATATAGCACCAAATCACAACAAAGTTGTCTCAGGGCACTTTACAGGAACATTCACTATTCATTTATGGATATAAAAGCCAATTAGTAAAGTTCTCTATCTAAGGAATCCAGCAGACAAGTTGAATCTTGTCTTCGTTGCAAAAGAGAAACATTTAAAGACATTTAAAAAAATAATCTGCTTTATTTAAAATGAAAAATGATTTTATTTTCAGCAACACATTTTTGACTGGAGAAACTGTAAAAACAGCAGGATGCTGAGTACTGAGCAGAAACTGAGCTGCTGAAGCTAAAAGAACAGTAGCTAAAAACAGTAAAAGGCTAGCTAAAAGTGGCAAAATACTACCAAAAATCTAAAGATGCCGAACACTAGAAGTTTTAAACTCTAGCCAAAAGCTAAAAGTATCACATGGTTTGCTAACCGTAGTAACATAAACACTAACTAAGCAAAAGGCTAGCTACAAGCCAAGTAGACTAAAACAATAGCTAAAACTAAAAATACCAACATTCAGCTAGAAGTTATTTTAGGTTAATAAAAATAGTAAATAGCTAAAAGCAGCATAATGATACCTAAAAGCCAAATATGCACTAACGGACAAGGGAAGTAAAACGAAAGAAGAGGATTGAAAGTCAACCGTAGTAAGACAGAGTACATGTGTGTGAATGAGAGGGAGGCCGGTGGAACAGAGAGGCTACAAGGAGCAGAGGTCACAAAGGTGCAGGACTTCAAGTACTTGGGGTCCACTGTCCAGGAAAATGGGGAGTGTGGTAAATAAGTGAAGAAGAGAGTCCAGGCAGGATGGAGAAAAGTTTCAGGAGTGATTTGTGACAAAAGGGTGTCGGTTTGGTCAAAGGAAAACTTTACAAGACAGTGGTGAGACCAGCTATGTTGTCTGGTCTGGAGACAGAGACTTGGTCAAAAAGACAGGAGACAGAACTGGAAGTGGTAGAAATAAAGATGTTGAGGTTCTTCTTAGGAGTGACAAGGATGGATAAGATTAGGAATGAGATCATCAGAGGTACAGCACAGGCTGAACAACTGGGAGATAAAGTCAGAGAGATTTATTTGTCATTCGCGTCTCATGTGGTGGAACAAAATTATGTATGCAGGGTCCAGTTACATCCAACAATAAAATGTAAACAAAAACAATAAGATCTAAGATATGAACTAAGAAAAACATCACCTAAATAATAAACTAAGCACTAATAGCATAAAACATTACGTCAAACAGCAGCAAGAACATGAGTCTGTGTGAGCAGAAAAGCACAAATGAACACATCAACATGAAACAGATCAGCAGCAACATGAAACAGATCAGCAGCAACATGAAACAGATCAACAGCAACATGATGTGATTTTTCACAGTGATTATTCTAGTTAGATATTCATGAGTCTAACAGCTTCAGGGTAGAAGCTGTTCCTCAGTCTAGTGGTTCTACACTTAATGCTCCTTAACCTCCAACAGACTTCTGTGCAGCCTTCACCACTCTCTGCAAAGCTTTTCTTTCTGCAGCTGTGCAGCCTCCATGCCACACGTTAGAGCACAGGATGCTCTCCACTGCACACCTGTAGAAGGAGGTGAGGACTGAGCTTCCCAGACCAGCTCGTCTCAGCCGCCTGAGGAAGTTGAGTCTCTGATGAGCTTTCTTGATCAGGCTGGTGGTGTTGTTGCTCCAGCTGAGGTTGTCATTCATGTGTACACCCAAGTACTTGTAGCTGGAGACCACTTCCACCACAGATCCTCTTATGGTCAGGGGGGTGTAGGTGTGTTTGTTCCTTCTGAAGTCCATGACCATCTCCTTTGTCTTCTTCACATTGATGTGAAGGTTATTGGGGGGAGTGGTGGCGCAGAGGCTAGAAGATGGGCTTGTGATCGGAAAGTCGCAGGTTCACCTCCCGGTACCGTCAACATCAAAATGTGGGTGGAAAAGGTGAAACACCCACACCTCCCTCCACCCTTATTCGCCCCACCCTGGGTCCTTGAGCAAGGTCCTTAACCCCCATCATCTGCTCCCTAAAACAGGTCTCTCTTGAAAATGAGTTCTCGTGGCTCAATGAGACTACCTGGATAAATAAAGGGTAAATGAAAAAAAAAAATCAGCTCTCCAGGTGTTCCACCTCCTGCCTGTAGCTGGACTCATCATTGTTTGTGATGCATCCCACCACTGCTGTATCATCTGTAAACTTTACAATATGACAGCCTGGATGAGTAGGTGTGCAGTCATATGTGAGCAGAGTGAACAGAAGGGGGCTCAACACACATCCCTGAAGGGGGCCAGTGCTGAGCGTTATGGTGGAGGAGGAGAAGTTGTGGATCCTCACTGACTGTGGTCTGTTTGTTAAGAAGTCCAGGACCCAGTTGCAAATGGAGGGGCTTAGTCCTAGTGTGAATAGTTTGTCCATCATTGGGGGAATCATGGTGTTGAAGGCAGACGTGAAGTCCACAAAGAGCATTCAGACATAGGAGTCCTTCTGCTCCAGGTGAGTGAGAGCAATGTGGACCACAGAGGAGACAATGTTTTCTGTTGATTGATTCTTGTGGTATGCATACTGATGAGGGTCCTCTCATGACCAGTTTTTCGAAGCATTTAGCGACTATCGAGTTGAGGGCCACTGGCTGATAGTCACTCAGACCAGTCACTGTAGAGCTCTTTGAGACTGGGATGATTAAAGAGGCCAGACTGAAATGGTTTGGACATGTCCAGAGGAGGGACAGTGGGTATATTGGTAGAAGGTTGTTAGAAATGCAGCTGCCAGGAAAAAGACAAAGAGGAGATGTATGGATGCAGTTAGAGAGGACATGGAGGTAGTTGGAGTGAGGACAGAGTGAGATGGAGGAGGATGACGACTTGCTGTGGAGACCCCTGAATAGGAAAAAGCTGAAAGAAAAAGATTAAGCTAAAGTGAGTGAAATACAAGCTAAAAGTAACAAAATACTATCAAAAAGTTAAAGTATCAAAAGGCTAGCTAGTAGCTAAATCTTTAAAAGGCTAGCTGTAGGTAGCAAATGATAGTTAAAAACTAAAACTAGAGAAATGTTAGCTAAAAGTAGAAATGGAACCTGTTTGTTGCTGTAGATTCACATTAAAAGCTTAAACTTTGAACTATCCCGTTTTAAACCGAGAAGCTGCTCGAACAGGAAACAGAAAACTTCAATCCTAAAAGGTTAAATCAGGTCATCTGGACAGATTCTTCAGATTACCTGACTTAACCTTGTTAGGTTTTTCTACCTGGATTATTGCGCATGTGTCAGGATAGAATGACTTCAACTTCAGAATAAAAGTCCAGTTTTGTTTTATTTGTTCATTTTTTGTGTCCTGGAATACTTGAGAATCTACATGATCGAACAGCTACAACAGGCCGACGTGGCCGAAGTCAGACCGCAGACAACGTTCACACTTCTTCTGAGTGAACGCTGAGCGCATGATCAGATTTACTGCGTTTATCTTCTCGTTGTGCATTTTATGAAGTTTTATAACTCGGCTTATCTACAACAGAAACTGTATAAATAAAGCTGTTGGGACTGAGCTGCTCTCTCGTCTCATGAGGATTTCCTCACACTATCTGCACTAGCTTTTATCCGTTGTTGTCCTTGGTGGAAATGGTAGTTGCAGAGGTTTATTGAGACAGAACCTTTCATCTACTTCCTTTTGTTCCTCTGTTGTTCTTGTTCTGCTTTGGTGGCGTCACGCTGTGGTGTTTCTAAAACCGTGTTACAAAACCACCAACAGAAAACAGTTAAAACGAGTTCAGTCCACGACGAGGTGTTTGAAGAATAAAGTAAACAGCTTTGAAGCTTCAGAGGCGTCTCGATGTTAGCTTGTAGGTCAGAAGAAGCTGATGTTTTAGAGTTTGCATCATCCTGAGTTAAACCTTTTATGTGATGAGGTCGTCAGAGAACCTGAATCTATTCATGGTCTTTATTTTTCTGACTCTTTACTGAACAGAAAACCTTGTTAGGAGCGTCGGTTCCCTCCATCGGGGGTCCGTCTCTCAGTCTGGTTTTAAATAACTCTCTGAAGCTTTCTGATTCCTCTCTTCTTCTCGTTTCAGTCAAACCTTTAGAAAAGTTGCACCAATTTAGGTTTTGTTAGCCAATGCGATTTCTGATTATTTTTTTTTAAGCTCTGACCCGCCGATACGGACGCTAGACGATTCCGATTTCTCTCAAACAACTACTGTAGATGTTTTTTTTGTCCCCCATCAAGAGCAAAGGGAGGAATTGGAAATACCTCCATCTGTTCGTCTTGTGAGCTGTGGGGGAAAAATGGCAACGTGACTTCTTCCATTTTTGTGCGTGACTGCGTCTAAACACAAGACAGGTCAAAATCCAAGATGACTACCACCATATGTAAACTGGCCACCGCTATCGTTTGAGGAAGCCAATTTTTCTAGAACTAAGTCCATGCTCAATAATCCAGGTATAAAATCCAACATTTTTCAGTCAGGTCATCTGGACAGTTTCTTTTTTTGTGCTGAAACGTTTCACCTTCGATCCAGAAGGCTTCATCAGTCAAGGAAACACACAACAAACAGATTCTTCCTCCAACAGCTTCCTCCAAAGTGGAACAAACCAGTTCTTTTTGACATGGACATTGGATTATTGAGCATGGACTTTGTTGTCTAGAAGACCTGACTGAAAAATGTTTGACTTTATTGAATTATGACTGACTGAATTATGACTTCAACCAGTTGATGAATTTGAAACTAATGTTTTTAACGTGTAAATTGATTGTAATTAGACTCTGCTAGCTGCAGATAATTGCAGTGATCAGTGTCTATACCAAAGTTTACAAAGGACATTTTCAGAATTCATGCAGTGAGAGCAGAAAATGAATTGTTACCAGAGGTAACAGCAGCTTGGACTATTTAATAATTTGTACCAAACTGTAGCATGATTCAGCACAGAATATCGGCCACAGAAGCTACGATCTACAAGCTAATTCAATAATTAACATCCATTACATCAGCTATATAGGCGACCTTTAAACGGGTCCATTATTAGCTTCAGTTCTGGTCCGATCACATCATATCTGCTGACTTGTGTGGAAGGAGGCGCATTTTCCTTTTCCTCCTCTGTTGCTACATCCATAGAATACACAGCTTTCTGACGTTTATATATTTTTACATACTCTCAACACACATTTGATTATAATTTTAGATTTTTTTTTCAGTCCTTACTCAGGGCTGTTTAGTCAAAACACCAAATGCAGACTAGGGCTGAAGGATTTTGAAAGATATTATAATTGCAAATTTTTTTTTACCTCAATATTGCAATTGCGATTTAATATTCAATTATTTTTCAGTGTCTTCTTCTCATGTATTTTTCAACGAACACAAGCAATAAATCAATCTGTTTCAGTTGCAAACAACTCCACTGGTTTCAGCTCTGCTGCAACTCTGTTTCTGCATTTTTTTGTGTAGCTCCGGGATAGCAACTTGGCTAAAATATGTGCACGAGGGCATTCTGTACCGCTTATCCATTGTGTTTACCAAAGCTGTAACCCAGGCTTGGTCACAACAGGTATATTAATGGGCATCATGTCTTTCGCTATGGACTTTGTCATTGCTCGAGTTATTTCCGCGTGCTGTTTCGAATTATGTTCATACAGAGTAACACCTTCGAACAGTTCGGTCAGTGATCCCTGTCGGCTGCTACTTTGCTTACTTTAAGTTGAAGCGCTGGTCAGTGGCATTCTAGCCATGCAACTATCGTAAATGGCTTTGTGGTGTTTTTTTAAGTGTTGATAAAGATTTGTGGTGTTACCTCGAGAGGTAGCAACGGCAGCAAAGCAGGTTCTGCACAATACGTGTCGTTGTGCAGCATCTTTTTTTAAAAACTAAAATAATTCCAAACAACGAACGTGCTGTCGCTCTTTGGTACCAAACTTTCAGATGTATCCGCTCCAGCATCAACGTGTGGCCTGGAGGCTGCACAGCTGCGGAAAGAAAAGCTTTGCAGAGAGTGGTGAAGGCTGCACAGAAGACTGTTGGAGTCAGTCTCTCCACCATCACAGACATCTACTCCTCCAGATGCAGGAAGAGAGCCACCTGCATCATGAAGGACCCCACTCACCCAGCACACACACTTTTTGCCCTGCTCCCCTCGGGAAGGAGGTTGAGGAGCATTAAGTGTAGAACCACTAGACTGAGGAACAGCTTCTACCCTGAAGCTGTTAGACTCATGAATCTCTAATCAGAATAATCTCTGTGAAAAATCACATCATGTTGCTGCTGATCTGTTTCATGTTGCTGCTGATCCGTTTCATGTTGCTGCTGATCTGTTTCATGTTGCTGTGTTCATTCATACTCATCTGCTCACACAGACTCATGTTCATGCTGCTGTTCGGCGTATTGTTTTTTATGCTACTCGTGCTTATTGTATTTTTCGTTAAAGTTTTTCTTAGTTCATATCTTAGATCTTATTACTGTTTTTCTTTTACATTTTAATACTTTTGTTGGATGTAACTGGGACCCTGTGTATGTATGACAAATAAAGATCCATGAATCCATCTGTCGAGCCTGACATCATTGTGTAACCAGTTAAAGCACCGTGTTGACTTCTCCCGCTCACTCGCAAGTGACGTAACCAGATCATGTGACCAGTCAACTCATAGCTGTTGCGATTAGAATGTCTCGTTTTATCATATTGCGATATTATTGCAAATGTAATTAATTGTTCAGCCCTAGTGCAGACATTTGATAGTTTTGGTTATGTTTTCCGTAGCTGCAGTGAATCACAAGGTCACATGACCCAAGCGCCCTCTGTTTTGTATAACTCCCTGGCCACCCCCTGACCTGGTTGTGGATAAAATTGCTCGCCAAGATCCGTCACTCTGAGAAGCAAAAACTAGATAAAAACCTCCCTCTGTTCTTCTGCACAGAGCAACTCTTATCCACTCGAATATGTTTCAACAAAAACATGTAGGTTTACTTCATTCTCTGTTCAGTTCCAGTCCAGAAAAACACTCATCTCCAAAACTACAAACATTCACTGTTCAAATCTCTGAGAGACGAGGGGCATCAACATACTTCTTGTTTATCGTGTACACGTTTGATTTTTCGGTGTTTTGTTCATAAAGTTCATGCTCTGATGTTGTCCTCTGCAGTTTTGGACGGTTTGGGACAAATGGCTGAGAAGATGTGGATCGGTCTCCACCAGCTGGACTTGTCTCAGGGCTGGCAGTGGTCGGACGGCTCACCCCTCTCTGTCCTGCGCTGGGAACCGGGTGAGGACGTCTTTCTCTTCAGAACAGATTTTAAATTGTCCAGTTTGGAAGATGGACTCTGGTTCTGTGATCTTCAGATGAAGGTTTCAGGTTTTTGTTGAACTGTTTGTTGAGACGGTCTGCAAAACGGACTGACCTGGAGCCACGTTCGTGTTGCCTAGGGTTGGGTAGCTGTGGCGGCCATCTTGAATCAAGTTACTCAGTTCTAGACGTCCATCCAGTGATTACTTTCCGAGAGTTTCTTTAAAATTTGTGAAAAAACATCAGATCACGTTTGTTTTCTTCTCCGCAAACTTAAAATGGTGGATTTAAAATTCAGTCCGATTTTCTGACCTTTAAAAATTGACTGCAGAGTTTAAAACCTCATTCTTTGAAGGAGTCCTTCATCTTGATCAGTGTGTGTTGTGGATGACTCTCGGCTACTACCACACCAAACTGTAGCTCATTTTCTGTAAAACTGAGTCAGAGTCATTTCTGTTTCTAAGCTTGATGCTCACACACACACACACACACACACAACGTTTGGAGAGCATAAAACAAGAACACACAGCTTCAGCAGATGGATCTCTCAGGTTTTCTCTGCACCAGCTGCTTCCTGTTGGTTTCTCCTCTCCAAACTTCAGCTTCAGTCACAGAAATAATTGCGTTGTGGTTCTGAAGAACTGAACAGGAAGTCTTATCGAGCCTGCACACTAATATAGTTTATGTTTAGATGAGCTGCTAGTCCAGGATTTTATGTACCTGTCTGATTTTTATTTTTTTATTTATTTATTTTGCTACCTTTCTGATTTTTATTTATTTATTTATTTATTTTGCTTATTTGGGTTGAAATAATTCATACTGTCAGTTTTTCTTCAGTTACAATAAACTAAAATATTTCTTGTTCAACAGCCTATAAAGATCAGTTGTTCTTGTTTTTGTGTGGGTTTTTTAATTGTATTTTTATTTGGTAGGAATGTCCATTTCCTGGGCAGTTTGTGGAGTCCTGAACTCGAAGAAGAACTACGAGCCCATGTCCTGCTACGAACGGCTGCCGTACGTCTGCAAGAAGAAGTTCAACGCCTCCGATGCTGCTGCGAGCGGTGGGTTTGGACCTGCTTTTGCTCTCGGCGCCTGCAGCCAATCTCTCTTCTCAGAGCAGAACTCATGACGGTTTCTGTGGTTGTTTTCCCGTCATTTTAACAGAATATTTCAGAAGTGGGGTTCTGTGGAAATGTTATAAACTGTAAATATCTTACCTGTTTTAGTGCCTTAAATGACCTCAGTTCAGAGGAATAAGACTTGGACACCTTCTGGTTCAGCATGATCACATTAAAACGTTTTCCCTGAAATGGAAGATGAAAATTAACCGTATCATCTGGTTATCGTTCTCCTCGCAGAGCTGGACGTTTATAAAGAAACGGTGTGTACCGAGGGCTGGGTGCCGTGGAGCGGCTGGTGCTACAAGCTGGTGAACATCTCACAAAATTTCTCAGATGCCCAGCAGCATTGCAACAGCACAGAAGGAGGAGATTTAGCTGCTTTCCACAACATCGACACCAAAGAGATGATCAGCACTTATTTCCATGCAGGTAAAGCTCTCGAGTGCCGTCAGTCGTTTCTGTAGCTTAGAGTCTGGAGACCGTGTTGACAACTTGAGCTTCCTTAGAGTTGGTTTATACCGACAGGAATCTCCCTCTCCTGCCGCCCAGCTCCGTTCGACCTCGAGGGTCCTCCTTATAGGTGGTGGGCCTACTGGGAGGTGTCACCCAGGAGCCAAGTCAGGGGCTCAGCCTTAGAGACCGGGTGAGGAGCTCCGTCATCTGGGTGGAGCTCTGAGTAGAGCCGCTGCTCCTCTGCATCAAAAGTGGTCAGCTGAGGAAGATCAGGCATCTGATTTGGACACCCCCCTTTGGAAGATTTCCTGACATGTCCCCCTGGGTAGAGACCCAGACTCAGAACTTGCTGGAGCGATGATATATCCTTTCTGGCCTGGGAACACATTGGGACCCCCCACCCCTCAGGAGGAGCTGGATAGTGAGAAATGACTCGTCACTGGAAAACAAGTTGAGTTATTTCTTTCTCGACCTGCCTGCCCTTTGTTGTGAAGCAGATCGCTCCTCTCCTTTTGTTTTTCTCCTGAGAAACGATCAGCAGCAGCTCTTGTAGGGCGGCTTATATTGGACACACCGCGTGTCGCAAACGTCTCTGAGCTTCGAGGATCAGATGTTTTTCATCCCCTCCGTTCTTTAGAGTTGTTTTCTTTGAACTTCAGCAAACTGCATCAACAGAGACACTGTTGCTCTCAAAGGTTATGCAGTCTGTGGGGATTCTGGGCCTCAGTGCGGTGAAAACATCTAAAACTGTTCACAGTCCAGACAGGAAGTGAAACAGTAGCTCGGGTAAGATGGTCCAAGGATCCTACAGGACCAGGAGTAGAGCTCGGTTCTGTCACTTATCTTTGCTGTTCCTACCAACGGTACTTCCTGTTTTATTTGATCTTGTTTGCCACGCCCACTCAGGCAGCAAGACTTGGGATGTGTGGATTGGTCTGACTGGTACCGGAGCAAACTCCACCATCTTTAAATGGACCCACCAGGGAACCATCACCTTCACCTACTGGGACCAGAACCAGCCGTCACAGCCCACCGAAGAAACCAGCTGCGTCTTCTACTCGGGGGAGGTTAGTGTAAACTAGCTCCTTTGGTTCTTTATTTATTTATAAATTTTTTGTTGTTGGATGTCTGTAGAGCCAGTCTCTGGTCTGTTTTCTGCAGGCTCACATGTGGCAGGTCGGGAACTGCACCGACAAGCTTCCCTTCATGTGTCAGAAGAAAGGGGAAGTCAACGAGTCAGCAGTACAGGCCGGATGTAGCTGGGAAGATGTGAGTATCATCTCCATCGTTGGTTCCCGCCCTTTTCCCAAGAGCTCCCAAGTTATTGGCACAGAGGCTGTCAAAATGTCAGACACTGCTGTTGTACACAAGATAATAACACAAATAAATTAAAACCACTTTATCTGAAACTAGAGCTACATGCACACTGCAGGCTAAAGTGGGCCAAATCAGTATTTTTTCAATCTGACCGAGGTCACTTTCATATGTGGTGCTACATCTGATAGCTCAGTAGGGAAAAGGTTAGGGAACCTCAGGTCAACATTCCATTATCAAAGTTCATGCTCAATAATCCAGGTAGAAAAATCCAACAAAGTTAAGTCAGGTCCTCTAGACGGTTTTGTTTTGTTGAAACGTTTCATCTTTCATCCAGAAGACTTCATAAGTCCGAGGAGCCACAACAAACTCATTCTTATAGCACCTTCACATGTGGGTCAGCCAGTCTGATGGTGCTACTCCAGAGACCATTCAAATTCAATTCAAATTCAAAAATACTTTATTAATCCCCGAGGGAAATTAAATGTTGTTGTAACTCATCCTGGTTTCATTAAAGAGTTGTTCTAGATGCTGATGGCTGTGGGCAGGAAGGATCCCTTGTAGCGGTCTGTCCTACAACGGATTTGAAGAAGCCTCTGACTGAAGACACTTTGTTGTTGTATGACAGTCTGATGAAGAGGGTGCTGAGGGTTGTCTATAATGTTCTTCATTTTTTGAAGAATCCTTCTTTGAACAATCATCTCCAAAGGTTCTAGAAGAGTTCCCAGAACTGAGCCAGCCTTCTTTATGAGCTTGTTGATCTTTTTTAAGTCACTTGCTCTGGTGCTGCTCCCCCAGCAGATGATGGCAGAAGAGATGTCGCTCTCTACAACAGACTTATAGAAGATACGCAACATCTTGCTGCAAACATTGAAAGACTTCAGCTTCCTCAAGAAGTACAGTCTGCTCTATCCCTTCTTGTAGACGGCTTCACTGTTGCATTTCCAGTCCAGTCTGTTGTCCAGGTGAACCTCAAGGTATTTATACTTCTCCACAACCTCCACTTCTTCTCCCATGATGGAAATAGGGTTGGACCTGTTCCTATCCATCCATCCATCCATCCATTCCATCCTTCTGATCCTCCTTCTGCTTGAATTCATTATTATGGATGGATGGATGGAAGATGAGAAGATTGTTTCCACACCATGCCACAAAGCGGTCCACCAGTTCCCTGTACTCAGCTTCTTGTCCATCTCTGATACACCGACCACTGCAGAGTCATCTGAATATTTCTGCAGATGACAGGAGTCTGTTTTATACTGGAAATCTGAGGTGTACAGAGTGAAAAGGAATGGTGAAAGTACAGTCCCCTGTGGTGTTCCTGAGCTACTGACCACCTGGTTATACACAACCCTTCAGTCTCACAAACTGTGATCTGTTTGTCAGGTAATCTTTGATCCAGGCGATCGTTGAGGCCTCCACCTGAGTCTTCTGAAGTTTCTGACAAAGCAAATCAGGCTGGATTGTGTTAAATGCACTGGAGAAATCAAAGAACATGACTCTCACAGTGCTGTCTGCCTTTTCTAGATGACAGTGAGTTTGCTAAAGCAGATGTATGATGGCATCTTCAACTCCAAGTCCACGCTGATAAGCAAACTGCAGTGGGTCCTGATATGTGCTTGTTTGTCTAGTCAGGTGGGTCAGCAGAAGTCTATCTAGGACCTTCATTATGTGGGATGTCAGGGCAACAGGTCTATAGTCATTGAAGACTGATGGGTGAGTTTTCTTTGGCACTGGAACAAGGCAGGATGTTTTCCACAACACTGGAACCGTCTCCTGGGTCAGGCTAAGGTTGAAGAGGTGCTGCAATACCCCACAGAGCTGCTCTGCACAGACCTTCAGGACTCTGGGACTGACACCATCTGGACCTGCAGCCTTATTCCAGTTCAGTCTCTCCAGCTGCTTCCTCACCTGACTTCTGGAGACGCAGAGGGGGAGGCAAAGGAGGTATCAGCATCTTCTGATTTGGTTGAAGACCAATATGTAGAAGAAGGGTCCATGACTTAGGTGGTAGATACAGTATTTGAGGCGTGACAGGACAGCCTTGGGTCAGTGGAGGGTGGTATGTATGTTTGGCTGTGGGTAAGAGAGGAGGATGCTGAGCTTGTTCCTGAACTGAACCTGTTGAAGAATGTGTTCAGTTCATTGGCTTTGTCCAGGCTTCCATCCTTCTGATCCTCCTTCTGCTTGAAGCCTGTGATCTGTTTCATCCCTGACCACACCTCTCTGATATTGTTCTGTTGGAGCTTGCTCTTCAGCTTCTTCTTGTACGCCTCCTTGCTGTTTCTTATCTTGACTTTTAGTTGCTTCTGTGTACTCTTCAATAATTCCCTATCTCCCTCCCTGAAGGCTCTTTTTTTCTGGTTTAGCAGTTCCTTCAGGTCAATGGTGATCCAGGGTTTGTTGTTGGGTAAGCATCTCACTGTTCTGGTGGGGATGGTGTTGTTTACACAGAAGTTTATATAGTTGGTCACACACTCAGTCACGGCATTGATGTCCTCTCCATGTGGCTGGCACAGTGCATCCCAGTCTGTAGCCTCAAAACAATCCCGCAGGGCTTCTTCAGCTTCCGTTGACCATTTTCTCACTGTTCTCTTTATTGCAGGTTGCCTCTGAACAAGGGGTTTATATTTTGAGCAGTGAAACACAAGATTGTGATCTGATTTGCCAAGAGGGGGTCTTGCTTTAGCGATGTACAGTATGAATCCTTGACATTTGCATAAAACAAGTTCAGCGTTTTGTTTTCTCTGGTAGAGCAGCTGACAAACTGTTGGAATGTCAGAAGTGTAGCAGAGAGAGAGGCATGATTAAAATCCCCAGATATTGCAACAAACGCACTAGGGTGTTGTGTCTGTAGCTTAGCAACCTCGGAGCTGATGACATCACACGCAGTCTCGGCAACAGCATTGGGTTGAATGTAAACGGTTGCCAAAATAACACTGTTGAACTCTCTTGGCAAATAATATGGACGACAACTTAGTGCTAACAGTTCAATATCTGGACTGCAGAGACGACACTTCACAGTAACATGTCCAGGATTACGCCATCTGTTGTTCACAAGCACTGCCAACCCATCTCCTTTCCTTTTGCCACTCCTCTTTAAATCTCTATCTGCTCGTATGGTCAGAAAGTCTGGCAGAGAAACGCTGGAGTCAGGGATATGATCCTGCAGCCATGTCTCAGTGAAACACATAACACTGCATTCCCGATACTCTGGATGGGTCCTTGTTAGGGCTTGAAGTTCATCCAACTTGTTTCCCAGCGATCTCGCATTGCCCATCATGATCGATGGAAGTGTAGTGAACTTGACCTGATGTCAAATCAATGACCTTAGGATCATATGGTCAGAAACTGTCATTTCATTGATCTGCATCCAGAAATACAGGTTGATCGATCCTGAGACTTTCTTTCTTGAATTAATCAAGTGGAAAAGACAATTCTCTATGATCATTACTATTTTACAAATGTTTGATAATCAAATTGTGTTAGTTCAAACAATGTTTACATGTTGAAGTGAACTACTCATTTTTATTTACTTAAACAGTAGTAATGATTTTTATTCCTCAATTCAAAGTGAAATCAAGTTAGAGTACATTACAGAGTAATGATTCAATTTCTTGATCGTCTGCTTTGAAAGTGAGCAAAGTTGTAAGTGTGTTAAAGTTCAAGCTTCGGTCAACTAGAAAGTTTACTGAAAAGAAATGTCATGTTTAACTTTTACAGCAAGATACAGGAGAGGTGGCACCACGAAGACTGGTTTTCTCCAACAATCTTTCTGTCTGTTCTTAAACAATCTTAATCTCTATCCTTGACTTTCCATAACACCTTACATCACAAACCACACCTCTGTTCTGGTCCATCCACCAATCAGAGGCTCTCAAACGAACCGGAAGTAGAGCCCATTTAAATATTGGCACTTCCTAGTTCAAAGAGAAGAGTTCCAGAAGAGTTCTGGTGTAGAGTTCAAGAGTTTTGGAATCCAGAGTGCAGAGAGTTTGGGAGTTCGTGAATGCACACGCAGGCATTCATGGATGCTGCTAACCCAAACAAGCTGAACCAGAGACGATTTTGGGAATTATAACTTCTGTTTGGATAACCTCGCACGGCTCTCGAGGTATTTGGCTGTTCTCACTGAGACGCTGAACAGTGGTTGGAAGTGAGACTCCACGCCGGAACTGATCTATCTTCAGAAAAGGTAAAAGTCGACCTTCACCAAAAGTGTACTGTGGGACAAGCTGATTTCGAAGGAGCGTGCACGTTCTGGTTAAAACAGATAAATTCCCTCACACATCTCTCTGTAAGATAAATCTCAATTTTCCATCTTTAAACTCTCCTTTCTGCTAGAAAATTAATCCAGATGTTTTCATTAATGTCTGTGGTGAAGCAACGGAAAACCATGGCCGTATGGTTTCCTGGTTGTAAAGCTGATTAATTATGTGTTGTTTTCATATTCTGCCAAATTAATGTAAATGTGTGATGTGTTAAACTTGATTCTGTTAATAAATGACCCACTCGCTTGGTGAGTCAAAGATAATTAACGTCTCACGTCCACATTTCTGTTAAATTCAACGCACGTACATCACACAGTCCAGAAAGATGAGTGAACCCGTTTTAATTGATGAATATATCAGCATCTGTTCATCTACAGAAGAGATGGTTTAAACTTCATTCTTCTCTCTTCCTCCCTCTTCTTTGCTCCTGCTCTGCATCCACGACGCCTCCTTTTCAACTCATTTGTGATTTGGGGCTGTAGTTGGGATATTATTTGAGCTTTGGAGATGTTAATCAGCTGCTCCCGGTTGTAAAAAAACAACCTTGTTATTATGGTTATGCATCATAACAAATGTCCAAAAGCTAAGATATTTCTGTAAAAATCCTTCCAGCTGCACAGCATCCGATACCAGAGGAAATAATCATCCAAAAAAGCGATTTATATCCAGAAAAAAGAGGAATTAAAGTTTTCAAAAGTAATATCTCAGAATGAAAGTAACAGAGCTACTCCAACATGCAGCCACCTTGAGCGGCACAATTCTAGAACTTAGCACCATCAAACTGGTTGACCCACTATGTAAGGTGCTATTTATAAGCCTGTAAAAGTTTGTTGTAGCTCCTCGGACTGATTAAGTCTTTTGGATGAAAGACGAAACGTTTCAACAAAAATAAACCATCCAGAGAATCGGACTTAACATTGTTGGGTTTAGCTACCATTATTGTGCATAATTGCTTCGGTAGCTCATTGGTTAAGTACTGCATCCTTGTAATGCTGGGGCTGTGGGTTTGCTATTGTTAGCTTGTATGTTTGCTAAAGTTAGTTTGTAGGTTTAATAATGTTAGTTTGTTGGTAATATTAGGTTGTAAGGTTTACTTATGTTAGCTTTTAGATTTGTTAATGTTAGCTTCTAGATTTACTAACATTCGCTTGTAGGTTTGCTATTGTTAGTTTGTAGGTTTACTAATGTTAGCTTGTAGATTTGCTATTGTTAATTTGTAGGTTTACTAATGTTAGCTTGTAGATTTGCTATTGTTAGTTTGTAGGTTTACTAACGTTAGCTTTAAGGATTGTTAATGTTAGCTTGTGGGTTTACTAATGTTAGCTTGTAGGCTTATTAATGTTAGCTTGTAGGTTTACTAAAGTTAGTTTGTAGGGTTACTAATGTTAGCTTGTAGGATTGTTAATGTTAGCTTGTAGGTTTACTAAAGTTAGTTTGTAGG